TGGTCTGCTGCAACACGCCAAGCCAGGTGGAATGCCAACGCCACGTCCACATCCGGGTTAACGCCCACTTATATGCAATTGAATGAGTGACGTTGACAATCCACCTGCTTGCAGCCATTTACACTCCCACCAAATCATGATTTATGAAAAAAATACTTCACATGATTTTAAAGTAGACAAATGGCAGTTAACAGTACTGTATTTTACTTCCTAATTAAAAACAAAGAGCAAAAATTTAACTCAACTAACACAACCAGTTTTTGTACAGGTCGTTCAAGAACGGATACATGTTTTTTTCTATCATTCAGACCTCTGTTTCCCATCTGAACCTTAATTCTTCGGACTATTCCGTCTAGTCCCTCTGCGGTGCCAATCACACGACCCAGTTGCCACTGACATCTTGGACGTACATCATCTTTAACAAGGACTATGTCATCCACCTTTACATTGCGGCGCAGTTTGTGCCATTTTTGTCTGAGAGAGATGAGATATTCTCTTTTCCATCTGCTCCAGAATTGTTCTACAAGAAACTGTACTAGAGTATGCCACCTTTTAAGTGCATACACGTCTTCTTTGACTAAAGTTCCAGGTGGTGGTAAAGCGATTTTAGACTTCATAAGGATAAGATGATTAGGAGTGAGTGGTTCAGGTACGTAAGGTTCGTTAATGTTGTAAACAGTTAAGGGACGACTATTAACAATAGCCATAAAGCAAAGTCCTGAGTGATGAGTCATCCATCTTGTTGGGTACTTGAGCAACTGTAGCATCCAACACATTACGAATGGTCCTGATCTGGCGTTCCCAAATACCACCTGCATGACTCGCTGAAGGAGCATTAAAAACGAACTCGCATTGTTTGTCCATCAGAAATGCCTTAAGCTTATCATTACACTGGTTTAGAAGTTTTGAAAGCTCATTCTTTCTCTAACCCTAACCCTGCAATGTCAATGGCAAAAACTGACAAGGTTTTAACTTCTGGATCACCTACAACCAGCTCAACCAGGGGTTTCTGCAACAAACATGGTTCTGGTTTCCACAAAAAACTTGGTCCAGATAACCAACTGGAGGATGAGATTTCTGAGGCACTAAGCCCTCCAGAGGCATGATCAGCTAGATTTTCTGCTGTTTCAATGTAATGCCACTGAGTTACTTCTGTAGTTTCTCTGATGAACTGAACGCGATTAGCCACAAACACATGGAATCTCCTGGCTTCATTGTTTATGTAGGCTAATACTACCCGAGAATCTGACCAAAAGAACTTGTTATCAATTTGCATCTGCAGTTCCGTTTTCAGCATCACACTCAACCTCGCTGCAACAACAGCAGCAGTCATTTCCAACCTAGGAACACTCATTACCTTCAGAGGTGTTACTCTCGACTTTGCCATAACCAGGCAACAATGAACCCTAACCCTTGAACATTTTTGAACCTTAGATAAGAACACACACCATATTCTATGCTGCTGGCATCTGCAAAATGGTGCAACTCAGTTCTCTCTATGGTACCAAAGTTTGGAGGATGATAACATCTTGGTATCGCAATCCTTCTCAGGAACACAAGTTCTTCTTTCCATTGCTCCCACCGTGTGCTCAACCTCTCTGGGAAGGGCATCATCCCAGCCCACACCCTTAGTGCAAAGTTTCTGGAGGATACGTTTACCAACCAATACAAAGGGAGCCAAGAAACTTAAGGGATCAAAAATGGAAGATCTGGGCCTGTCAGCAGGGTGTCATTTAAGGAAATACCATTGTATTTGGCAGAACAGTCAAAAACTACTCCGTTTGTCTGGCTTTTTGGGATGGTAAACGCTAGGGCTGTCGCGGTTGAGGAATTCCCCCTGCGGTGATTCAGGGTGGCTTAATATTGCGGTGTGCGATATTATTGCAGCCCTTTTTTATTGCAGTACTATCTAAACATAATGTTTACACATTTAAAAAAGGTTAAAAATTGCCGTGCCTTCTTTTATAACACTTTACTGAATGCAGATCAAAGGGCAGTAACAACACAGATCGCAGTAGCGTTTGTTTCTCCGACAGTCGGAGTCCGACTGAACTTAAAAACAACAAAATTCAGGAGAAGGTTAAACTTTTAAATGCAAATTTGGCTGCAGCATCTAACAAATAAGAAACAAGTCCCCATTTTGTTTAGTTGTTTAAAATCAAGCATAAAAAATGACATGTACCGGGCGCGGGGCACTATCATTTCACTTTCACACACACGAATGACGGTGATTTATAGCTCGGTCACGTCCTTGTTACCCACAAGGAAAACCAGCATGTTAACCATATACGGTTGAGAGAGGATCTGAGAGGGGTGGCAACATTTCCAGCAACACTGAAAACCCTCTCGGATGGTGCGCTCGTTGCACTAACACACACGTACATGCGTGCGACTGGCGAGCAAAGGGAATCTCTCCCGGTTGTTGCTCCACCATGTCAGGGGGGTTTCTTTAGGGTGGATGCATTCCTCCTGCAGGTAGCGAGTGAGCTCCAGCTCGGCTCAAACTCTCTTCGGGACGGTTGCAGAAGCAGTGCTTGTCCGGGACTTCAGCAGGTCTCCGAGCATTTATTTATTTATTTATTTTTGCCGCTGGTGGCAGCTCTGTCTCGGCCAAGGACTCTGGCTGCGCAGCAGCTGACGTACTGAAAACCAAAGCGCTCCCAAAGGAGCGAAGTAACGTTTCGTTTTGATACCAGTGCAGCCATCCTTCTCAACATGCATCATTGAGTTGAACCAAGTTCAGTAATCGCGGTGGCGCATGATGCAGCGCGGTGGGCTTCTTCATATTGCGATATTTCATTTTTGCGGTTACCGCGACAGCCTTAACACACACACACACACACACACACACACACACACACACACACACACACACACACACACACACACACACACACACACACACACACACACATATCCATAAGCATACTGAATAAGTATTAAAAACTATAGTAAAAGGATGGTAAAAGAATCTACAGATTCAGGAGAGAAATGGCTGAAGGAAAGAAACTGTTCTTGTGTCTGGTGGTTTTTGTGTACAGCGATCTATCGCGTCTGCCAGATGGGAGGAGATGGAAGAGAGTAGATGCAGGATGTGTGGCATCTTGGACAATATTCACTGCCTTTTTCCTGGTCCTGCTGATGTACAGTTCCTGGACAGAGGGCAGTTGGGCACCAATGATTTTTCCTGCTGTTTTAATGATACGCTGTAGTCTGCATTTGTCCATTTTTATGGTTGACCCAAACCAGACAGTGATGGATGAGCAAAGTATGGATTCGACTGCAGCAGTGTAGAAGATGATCAGCAGCTCTTGTGGTAGGCCGTACTTCCTTAGTTGCCGTAAGAAATACATCCTCTGCTGAGCCTTTTTGACGATGGAGTTGATGTTTGTTTCCCACTTCAGATCCCTGGAAATGATAGTTCCCAAGAACTTGAATGAGTCCACCATTGACACTGGGCTGTTGGATATTGTGAGGGGGGGCAGCACTGTGGGAAGCTTCCTAAAGTCCACGACCATCTCCACAGTCTTAAGGGTGTTAAGCTCAAGATTGTGCTGACTACACCAGACCACCAGCCTCTCAACTTCTCGCTGATAAGCAGACTCATCACCATCCTGGATGAGCCCAATGACAGTGGTGTCATCTGCAAATTTCAGGATTTTTACAGCTGTGTCCTTAGAGGTGCAGTCATTGGTGTACAATGAAAAGAGCAGTGGAGAAAGGATGCACCCCTGTGGTGTACCGGTGCTGATCACCCTTGTGCCAGACGTAACATTGTTCAACCGCACATGCTGGCTCCTATTTGTCAGGAAGCTGGAAATCCACTGACACATAGCAGGGGAAACAGTGAGCTGAGAAAGCATTCTCCATTATGTCTGTGAGTGGTGATATGTCAAACGGTACCTGTATCCCTCCACCATCATTCTCCGAGATCCCTCCACCCCCACTTGATGAAGGGCGCTATAGAGTGCACTATCCCACCCTGCATCCACATAGGCGCGGCAGACACAAGGGGGCGCAATAAAATCACAATATAAACGCAAGCAATGACTTTGTTGTGCTTTTATTACCGAAATAGTATTATTATCATCACTCATCACTATTATTATTATGAAGAAAATGCGATTTCTATGTTTTGTTTATGTACTGCTTCATGCTAAAAAAAAAAGAAAAAAAGAAGGAATTTAAATGACTGCCGCCCTGTTCGGCCGCACATGTTGCACATATCAAGCTCCGCCCCTGGGTGGTACAGCTACTTAAATGGAGATGAACGTTGCCAACCTACACAAATCTTTTCAGTTTTTTATTATCAGATTTATTGACATGGGAACAATTATCTCGATAAGAGTCAGAAATTTCGATAACGATAAATTTTCCATTTATTGCCTAGCCCTAATAGATCGTTTAGCTTAATTTTCGAGTCACCACTGCTTTACACATGCAATGTCAGCACGTAGCATGTATAACGTCACCACAGAATCTCTTCTCCCCTAGCGTAGCTGCTACTGACCACATGGCCAGATTTATGGTGGTTCTGTCCTCTTGTGGGAAGAATATAAAGTTTGCTAAATATGCAGCCATTTCTCCTCTGCTTTTCTCCGTGTCTGGTTCGATGACGTCACTTTGGTGATGTGCATTTGTAGTCCTGGATGTATTTTCACACAAAACCTAAAATAACGTTTACCCCCCGTTAGAAAGTAAGCGCTTTCTTGGTATCAGAATGTGTCTTTAAAATTCCCGAACATCATATGTCAATCCCATGGCACGAAACAAAGCGGATTAAAAAATAGCATTTTTAGCCTCGTTGACTTGCATTCATTTTTTCGTTCTTCCGGGGACCCATGGTCCAGAAGTGTTAATCAAACCACTGTTTAAATGCGTGTAATTCCATCTCCATCATACCCAGAAGCATCTTTATTCCTCACAATAGTTTGAACGTAAAGAATAGAAGTTCTATAGCTGCATGTACAGGTCTGCTGAGTTTATTTCGGTTTCTCCAGGTCTGTGACAGATCCCAGAGATGGAAAGAGGGTGGCCCTTAAAAAGATGCCAAATGTCTTCCAAAATCTGGTGTCATGCAAGAGGGTCTTTCGGGAGCTGAAGATGTTGTGTTTCTTCAAGCATGAAAATGTGAGTTCTTTAAGTCTTACCAGATTTAATTTAGGTTAATGAATGAAAAAAGATCTAGCTGACCCTGGTTTTACTCTCTCTTCAGGTACTTTCCGCTCTGGACATCCTACAACCTCCACACATCGATTACTTTGAGGAAATGTATCCTTTACTATCTGATTTGGGTTTGTTTTTTTTGCCTTTAAGCAAAAAAATTCTAAACAAACTTTGAAAGATGTGTAAGTTCAGATATGTGAAATGTAAAATGAGTTGCCTTGAAAAAAAAACTATTTTATTAAAATTCATAAGCCTCAAACACAAGGCCGCACATAACTGTCGTGAGTCGTGGAGGATGGCTGCTTATACTGAGCCAGGATCCTCTGGAGGTTTCTTCCTGTTAAAAGGGAGTTTTCCTCTCCACTGTCGCTGCATGCTTGCTTACTATGAGGATTGCTGTATAGTCACTGACACTCGTCAGTGACTTGATGCAATTTGCTGGGTTCCTTATATAGGAAACATTATTTCTGATTGGCTTAATGAACTGTGAATTGGAATGTTTATTATGTGAAGTGCCTTGAGACGACTCTTGTCGTGATTTGGCGCTTTATAAATAAACTTGAATTGAACTGGTACGGAGGTATGGTAAGGCAAAAATCGGTTACCAAGCGATTTTTGCATACTTGACCGTCTGATCATCTCATCTAAATGAAATGCATGGTGTGTTGTGGTGCTGAGGGTTTCTGAACGATGGGGAGGAGTAGAGTTATGGGTTTCAGCCTGACCCCACACAGGTGATCAACATTTTTGTCACTCTCCATTTAAAACAAACAAACAAAAACACAACCAACAACTCTGGGCTGATTGGGCTGAGAGTCAGGCGGTCTGGGTTCAGGCTTCCTTCGGATTCATTTAAGGTAGTTTTCCAAGAAAATTACTCAGAGCAACTTTGACTGGTGCAGCTCGGCCTGACCACAGTTTCCAAGGGCATGCTCCTGTTTCTCTCATGTTTTTAGTCCCTGCTCCGTTAAGGTACCTGGCAAAGCTGAGTCGGGCCGGCATTGCGATTCTGGCTGCTGATTGGCTGGGGGGGGGTGTCACTAGTTGCTCTGGAGTTTTCTGCTTTCTGTTTCTCTGCCTGCAGCCATTTCCTGGTTCAGAGTCTGACACAAAGCCATAAAACTGAGCAAAATGCCCACCAACACCGCCATTTTTGTTGTGTTTCTGTGGAGCATGCAAGTTACCTTACACTGTTTACTGATCACCTCATGTTATTTTGAGTCATGAGTAAAAATTGATTCTGTTCATAACCATTATGGACAGGATTTCTAGGCACAGCCAAGGTTGTTGAGGATGTTGGGTATTTTTATATCCTAAAATGAACCACACAGGAGAAAAGGGTTAGTAGGTTTTTTACGCTCGATACAGCGGAGAGAGAGACAGGCTCAAAGCCTGTTAGGCCCTGCTCTGATCAACTCTCTGGCAACTCTCTGCACCACACCTGGTTTTATTGAAACACAGGGAAAAAAGGACACACTGTCCACACTGTCCATCACTGTCTACACTTAGCCAATAACAGTGTTGCTTCTACCTAAGGTGGGACATTCCAAAAAGGAAGTCTTAATTTATGACTTACAGCCAGAAACTCAGTAACCATGGATACCTGTTGCTGGACAGGCTATTCCCTAACCCCATACAGACAAACATCAGGGCTCTGGTTACATCCGGTCAGTAACAAGATGACGCCTGTGCTTGGCTTAGCCGCGGTCACCGGCCACTTTTTCAAACTTTTCTCCACTAACCTCCTCTTTTCCACCTTGCTCCAATCTGCGATCCTCTTCAGTAGTGTCCCTGCTACCATCTCCTATGATCGCCAGACTCTTTTGTCCTTCCGTTCGTTCACGATCACCCAAGATGCACCGAGGATGTACCATCCTGTTTGTTTACCTGAGTGGCGCACTGGCCCGGAGCCAAACGATGATTCCAATCATGGCGTTTCCAGCGATGTTTATCCGGTCCCGGGAAAACGTTGGAGGAAAAGAGGTAAACGAGCAGGAATCCAGGTGAGAATAAGACTTCTCTTAAAGCGTGGTTTATCTAGTAAACATCGGCGTGATCTTCTAGCTTCTCTTCCTTTGTTTGGTGACCTGAGCGCCACTTCCACATTCCCGCCAGGCCGCGTTGCAGCGCGGTTTCTCCATCCAAGTTTTTTAAGGTCGGTTTATCCTCATTCCTCAGTGGTTTCCTCTCCTTTTCCCTCCATAAGTGGTTTTTATAAACACCGTGGATCTAACCCTGCTAATTTACGTCCACTAACTCCAGCTGTTTCTGTAGTTTCTGATTCCTCCACCTCACTCAGCATGGCTCTATTAAATACCCGCTCTGTTAACAATAAGTCCTTCCTGCTCAATGATCTAATTCTCTCTATAAACCTGGATTTTCTGTTTCTGACTGAAGTTTGGCAGCAAACATCTGATTATTCTGGTCTGATTGAACTCTGCCCGAGTGGTTATTCTTTTCTTAGCCAGCCCCGGGGTTCTGGTCGTGGTGGAGGCCTAGCTGTTGTTTTCAGAGACCATCTTCTTCCATGTAGCTCTACAACCTCTGGTCTCTTTGATTCCTTTGAACTGCAGCTGATTAAAGTCGGGCGTAAGGACCCGTTCTACTGTGCTGTGGTCTATCGTCCACCTGGTCCAAACGGTTCTTTCCTTCAGGAGTTTAGTGACTTTCTATCCTCCACTGTGAAGCTGTCCAGACTGGTGATTGTTGGTGACTTTAACATCCACGTTGATGATCCCTCTGATCACTTTGCCATGAATTTCTCCAGCCTTATGGACTCCTTCAGCTTTACCCAGCATGTTTCTGGCCCCACACACACCAGGGGGCACACTCTAGACCTTGTTTTTACTGTGAGTCTAAATGCTGACAGTGTTTGTCCTGAGGACGTTTATATTTCAGATCACCATTGCATTTTCTTTAACTTGTCAGTTTCTGCGTCCCCACCTCCTGCTCGCCGTATGGTTAGTTCTCGTTTTCTTAATGAGAGCACAGCTAGCAATTTTTCTGCTGCTTTTGATCCACCCTGTTCTTCTGATAATGACCCAGATTCCTTAACTTCTCAGTTTAACGAGCACGGCTTCTCCATTCTAGACAACATCTGTCCTGTCAGAACCAGATCAGTTCCTGCAGTGAACCCTACTCCCTGGTTTAATGCCAGCCTTCGCAGCCTGAAGCGCCAATGCAGAAAAATTGAGCGTTTGTGGAAGAAAACCCATCTCCACGTCCATCTGCTGCACCTAAAGGATCTTCTGACATACTTAACTCTGAGATGCGAGGGTTTCCTATTTCTCCAACCTGGTGTCCCAGAGCAAAGGGAACCCCATCATCAGCATTGTCTCTCCTGCCACTCCTACAGCCTCCATCCACTCTGTTACAGACTGTGAGAACTTTCTGTCTTTGTGGACAAAGTCAATAAGGTTAGATCTAGCATCTCTCCTTCAGCCTTATCGTTGCCTCTCCCGACTCCAACCAGGCCCATCATCCTAGATAGCTTTGCTCCTGTTTCTTTGCCTGAGTTAACCAAACTAGTTAACTCTATGAAGACCTCTGCATGCCCCCTCCACATCTTACCCTCATCTTTGTTTAAAAGTGCTTTTCAGTCCATCGGTCCCAGCTTCTCTGGTCTCTGGTCAGGTCCCTGCTTACTTTAAGAACGCTGTAATCCACCCGCTTCTTAAAAAACCGAGTCTCGACCCCTCTCTCCATAGCAGCTTCAGACCCATCTCTAAACTTCCGTTCATCTCCAAGATCTTGGAAAAGGTTGTGGCTAAACAACTCACAGCTGCTCTTGATGAACATAACATCTATGATAGCTTCCAGTCAGGTTTTCGTAGAGCTCATTCTACTGAAACAGCTCTTCTTAGGGTCTCTAATGACCTTCTGACTCACAGTGATGCAGGGAACTGTTCTGTTCTGGTCCTGCTGGACCTGACTGCAGCCTTTGACACTGTTGACCATCACCTGCTACTGGAGAGGCTGAGAGACTGGGTAGGCCTGTCAGGATCTGCTCTGGAGTGGTTCTCCTCTTATCTCTCTGAACGCTCCTTTTCTGTGGCCGTTTCCAAGTTTAGGTCCTCCACCACCTCACTTACGCATGGTGTCCCACAAGGTTCTGTGCTTGGGCCTCTGCTCTTCCTCCTCTATCTGCTTCCTCTTCAGCACATCCTGAGCTTCTTCAAAGGAATCTCCTACCATCTTTATGCAGATGACATCCAACTGTACATCTCCTTTAAGCCCCATGAGATGTCTAAGCTGCAGCTGTTACACACCTGCTTAGACTCTATCAAAACCTGGATGGTGGGAGCTTTCTTCAGCTGAATGAAGATAAGACTGAGATCCTCATCTGTGCCCCAGACAAGCTGGTTCCCAAAGTCAGAGACTCTCTTGGTCAGCTTGCTTCTCACACCAAACCTTCTGTCAGGAATCTTGGCATGACCTTTGACCCAGCTCTCACCCTGGATTCTCATGTCAGTTCTCTTGTTCGCTCTTCCTTCTTCCATCTCAGGAACGTTGCTAAGCTGAGTCCCATTCTGTCCCGCTCTGAACTTGAGACAGTTCTCCACACCTTCATCTCCTCACGCTTAGACTACTGTAGCTCTCTTTTCACGTGTCTGAGCAGAACCTCCCTGAACCGTCTACAGGTGGTTCAGAACGCCTGTGCTCGGCTTCTGACCAAGTCCTCCAAACACACCCACATCACCCCGCTTCTCCTCCAGCTTCACTGGCTGCCAGTCAACTTCAGGGTTCATTTCAAGATCCTGGTTCTGGTCTATAGGACCTTACATGGATAAGCACCATCTTACATTGGTGATCTTCTTAGTCCCTACACCCCCAGCAGGTCCCTGAGGTCCAGTGACCAAAGCCTACTGGTTGTGCAGCACCAGGCTAAAGGTCAAAGTTGACAGATCATCTGCTGCTGTGGCCCCCAGACTCTGGAACTCTCTCCCCCTGAGCCTGAGGTCAGTGGACTCAGTGGTCTCCTTTAAAAAGCAGCTGAAGACTCACTTGTTCAAGCTGGCTTTTGTATGACCTTCTTCACCTCTCTCTCTTTATTCTGCTCTCCCCACCTATTCCACCTTCCTCAAAATCCACTGATTTCTCTCTTTCCTGTTCTCTCTCTTTCTTTCTTAACATTTTTTAATCACAATTGCCTATTTTTGCTCATTTTAAATATATTTTTAAACATTTTCTAAATGCCTTTTATATTTTTACATTTTTTGTTTTTGTGAAGCGCCTCGTGATTTTTATCTTGAGAGTTGCTATAGAAATGATTCTTCTTCTTATCAGCCACATTCCAGAGTAAGAGAGAGAAGGAGACAGAACTCTGTGGCTTACGTATTAACATATGATTACTTAAAAAGGAACATTTAAGACCATAATACATTAAAATACCTAACATTCCCCCCGAAAATGTAATTGTAATGTAATGTTTGCTTATCAAAAGACCTGAGTAAGACCTTAACAACCTAAAGATCAACCTTAAAAACCTAAGTAATTAGGAATTATGACATACCTTACCCGTGCAAGATTTAGAATGTCCAAACAACCTAACAATTTTAGCTTAGCCAAATAATCTAGACATCAATATGTTACCTTGTGAGTAATTTAATATAGGTGAATCATTGATTTATTAAGCTACACTCCGGTACCTCATCCATCGAGGCTAGGTCAGTTTTCATCAGGAACGTTCTGTTAGATCAAAGTGTTATTCATGATAACCTAATGCAAGAAAAAACACACAAGATGATGAAAAGTCTAAGGTGAGGAGTTGGACACTTGTGAATTTTCATCCAATTTGCACTTGAATCTTCTTTATGTCCGTCATTTTCTCCCACAGCTGCACAGAGGCCTCCTGAAGCAAAGAGGAGGTCTAGCGCCATCTGGTGTTCCATTGCCATAGTGCGAAGAGCTGCCTTCTCAGGATCATCTGCCATCATATTGATGCCCCATCCATCGCTGTACAGTTTTCATCCTTTGTTGTCAGAGAATGGCTTGTAGACCTGAACAGGTTTTAAACTTTTTGTCGCGGATGATTGGGTCTTTGTGTTAGTGCGCTTTCTGAACTGTGGCTCTTGAAACCAACTGAAACTGCAGATCCTGTGGTACTTGTGCTTTTTTGTTGATGTCTCTCTTTTTCTTCAGCACCTTCTGCTTTTCATCATACTCTTCTCCAATCTGGCCCTCCATTTGCTTCAGCTTTTTGCTGTAGGTCTGTCTGATCTCCCTCTCTAGCTGTTGTTTGTTCTGCAGTTCAATCTCCAGCTTTACTGCATTTCCATGATATGCAGAACGGCTTTTCCGTTTTGGCATGGTGGAAGTACAAGCCCTACTTTAGAGTCTGATTGGCCTTTTTGAAGAAGTTTCACAGAGTCAACTATTCTTTCCCTAGGAACCAGGGGCCGCAACAGTGTGGCAAAGTGGAGCGATTAACTTGCTTTCGCCCGTCGGCTTTCCTTTCCTGAATACGGAGAGCATGGAAGCTACACTCAGTGTCATTCATGCAGGTATTGCAGTTAATGTGGGATTTTCTTCAGAGTGGTAGGGCATGAAGTTGCACTCATTGTTTGAATGCTGTTAAGCATCCAAACTATTGTTTGCCTGTTTTTCTTTATTCTTCTTCATCATATTCTGCTTCCATACACTTTTTGAACCTCTTCTTCTCCTTCAAATTTTTAGCTGTTTCAACAATTTTATAGCAAAACGTTCAGCTCGTTAAGCTCTTTCCGGCTATTACTTTTGGCATTGATATCTTTAAAATTTTTCGAGTTATTAAGCTTTTTCAGCGAAAAATTTCCCATTGAAATGAATGGGATTGGTCAATTTTCAGCAAATTCATATCACTTTTTTGACCTAAAACACTATTGGATTCCTTTTAACTCAGAGACTTCATTCAAAGTTTAACAAACTCACAAGACTTTCCTGTTTAACATATTAAAGAGGCTTTTTGATATCTTTTACGGTTTTTCTAAAATCGCAGGTAGAAGTTGAGGTACGACTTGAAACTTTCAGAAAAAATCACAAAAGTTATATTGGGCAAAGATAGGAGCAGTGACCCTCCCTTGCTCCATTTCCGGCGTTGTCCCGAGAGAACCGTAGGTCCGATTGAAATGAGACCCGCTGGCTTACAGCTAATGAATATACCTTCGTTTTGAGCTATAATTCATGACTGTACTCCAAACATTGTGGTCGTATGGTTCATTTTTTTGAGAAAATTCAAATTTAAAAAAATGTCTCTCCCCACTCTAAACTGAAAATTCCACACTCTAACTTTTGAACTTCACATCTTCTGTGAACAACTCTTTACTACCCCCAGACCGTTTGGACTACCAAAACTAGTTATAACTCAAAAAGTAGGAATTTTTGTCAGCTTTTCAGAATGGGTTTCATTTCATCTGTAAGTGTTACCGTTCTTTCGCTACAAGCCTCAGAAGGAGGAGAGACCCAGATTCTGCCTCATTGAAACCCGTGTTAAAGGAGCAGAGATTTTCTCCTCTGATCGGCTTCAGACAGCTAAAATGTTCTCATCATAGCGTCTAGACAATTCATGGTAGGCACATAAAAATACACACCGATGACCATCAAAGCCTTCTGCCACTCACGCTTTTTGAATTTTTCAAATCGGTGCAGTACTTTTCGAATGGTGATGAGAAGTTTGACAGGTCCAATTTCACTTCTGAAGGACAGATTTAAAGGCTTCTCTCATTAACAGGAGTACAGCTGCAGGCCTCCAACAGCCAGGGGAAAAGGCGGGAAAACAGTGCTGCTCTCTGATTGGTTGAGAGTGTTCAACCATTTTCTGTCCAATCAGGATCCAGCATCCACACATATGACACATCAAATCGACCAGTTTGGTCTCAGAAATCTTGTATTAAATTTTAAATGCATTATCTGTTACCATGGCAACACAAGAAGCTACATATCACTTTAACCAAGTCTCATAGGAATGATTATTAAAAAGCTGAATATTGAGCCAATAACAGACTCCTGTGTTTGATCTTTTTGAACTATCTGTACTTAAAACTAGAAACAAGTTCAATTTGATTGACCGTCAGAAGGTGGGAAAGTGCCCCGCTCCCACCCAGCCCTCTGATTGGTTGAGAGAGGTCAATCATCTTCTGGCTAAATGGAATTACACACCCACACATGTGGGACATCAAATCGATCGGCAAGGCCTAAGGAGTCCATCCATCCATCCATCCAACCAACCAACCAACCAACAAATAAACAAACAAACAAACAAATAAATAAATACACTTAAAACTAGCAGCATAGATGACATTTTAACACTAGTCAGAAGGCAGGAACCGCCCCCTCCTCCTTCGCTGCTCTCTCATTGGCTGAGAGTTTTCAATCGTCCTCTGCCTAAAAGGAAATGTGCACCCACACATATGATACATCAATTCAACCTGGTCCCAGGAGTCTTGTATTAACTTGATATTGTGTTCTGCATTACCATGGCAACGTGCTTAGCAACAACATTTAAGAACATTTTAGACACAACTGTATTAACATACTTTAATATAGAAATGTTATTCAAAGTTTAAAAGAGTCATGTGACATTGTACATAGCTTTATTAATGCGGACTCCTGTCATCTGTTACCATGGCAACACAAGGAACTACAAATCACTTTAACCAAGTCTCATAGGGATGAATATAAAAAGCAGAATATTGAGCCATTAACAGACTCCTGTTTTTGATCTTTTTGAACTGTTTGCACTTAAAACTAGAAACAAGTTCAATTTGATTGACCGTCAGAAGGTGGGAAAGTGCCCAGCTCCCTCCCAGCTCCCTGATTGGTGGAGAGAGGTCAATCATCTTCTGGCTAAATGGACTTACACACCCACACATGTGAGACATCAAATCGATTGGCTTGGCCTAAGGAATCCATCCATCTACATATAAATCCATACGTGCTTCTATTCATCCATCCATCCATCCATCCATTCATCCATCCAATAAACCATCTAACATCCATCCAACAATCCATCCATTATTTCATTCATCCAACCATTCATCCATCCCATATCAAATCTGAACATATGTTAATCTATCAGTTTCAGATATCAGCAAATATTTCTAAATTCACAGTTCAGCCAATTGTAAAAATGTACCCGTTAAACTATTCTCATTCAAATGCCAGCTGTTTAACATTTCAAATATTTTGTTTTTAATAAATGTTCAAAGATTAAAGTTTTCTGCTGTTTAGCATTTTTGTATCCATTCTTCACCTATATTCTGAGCTTTATTACACTTGTTGGTGATTTTTGCTTCTTAATCTTTAAATACATTCAGCTCATTTTCACAGTTTAGCTTAGTTTCAGCTTCACTTCAGCTATTCAGCAGCTTCAGCAATCCGTTTCTGAATTCGGCTTATGCTACTCATTAGGGCTGCAACAAACGATTATTTGGATAATCGATGAATCGGATGGGGTCTCGACACGATTAATCGGATTACATTGGGACATTTTTTAAAACTGCTAGGGAAACGTTATTTCTCTCCTTCCTTCACTTTATTAAACACATCATTAGAAAACAGTTCAATAGCAGAAAAACAACATGCCATCACCTAAATTGTCTTATAAGGTGTATAGACAGAGACCCTAAGCTACACCTATCTGTGACCTAAAATGCTTGGTCCAAGTTAAACAGCTTAAAGAGCAAGTCAACCCCTACCAGAGTCTAACTCCACTCCCACTTCATGTTTGAAAAATGCAACACATGCTGTTGCCTGGCAGACCGAGAGGGTGGAGCCGCTAACAAATACACACACACTCAGGCTCACGACAGCATTGTGACATCATAATGTACCAGTGTACATCATAGCATACTTCTTAGCCAATAGCGGTGGCAGATTTAAATTAAAATACAGTGCAGAGTTTTTACCTGACAACGGCACAACACTGCCAGTTTTAGGCAGAATATTTAAATTTTAACTAAGATGCAATGAAGTGCCAAATTATTGACGACACGTGTCTGCAGCACGATTAGACACTCGTTTATTTAGTTTATCAGCAAAAAAAAGTTTATTTGGGGGTGACTTGCTCTTTAAGGGCAGTTCTCATCTGTTTTGTTTGATCTCATCTGTAGACATTTATTATAATTGGGGATGTCAAACAACTAATTTTTAAATGTAATTAAACATCGGCTGTGAATTAATCAAAATTGATCACTATTTCCAAAAATGACTTAAAAATACCAAATAAAACAAAAGTAAATGAATGCCATCCTCCTTGTGATGATGCCCTGGGCAACTGCCATAAAGTCACATCAAGAAATGCTGCTGATCATTCCAATGATCCCAAATAGACTCACATTAGGCCACATGAAAGCAACTGAACCCAAAAATATATGAACCAGTATATAACTGCACTCTCACACAACACGCCTGCAGCAACAGTTAGGACTCCTCCCTCCCTTTTAAAAGCGTTTTCGCTTCCGAGGACATTGTGGTTGTAAAACCACATGCTAGTAGTCTGGCCCCGGTGTGATCAACCAGTTTCTGCGGGAATGTGACGGCGAAACCGGTTCGCAGCAGCGCCAGTCCCCCCCCCCCCCCCCCCACCCACCCCCACCCCGTTTATCTAATAGCGTCACGCATACGATTGTATAGACTTTTTTTTACGAGCTTTAGGGCATGTCTAGCCTGTGTAATAATCCGGGGCGTGGGTGAATCACTTTTGAAAAGTTTTTAACTTACCCGGACACCGAGCTCTCTCCTTCCTCGCTGATGATTCAGACATGCTTGCGTTTAAGATGCTGCATCATCACCGTAGTACTCCCGTGCCATGCTAAGTCTGACCTACAAGCAGTGGCGGCTGGTGAAAAATATTTTTGGTGGGGCTGTGCTTTTTTTTATTTTTAAACAAACTTGTGCTTTCTGAGCTTTGTGCACAACTTCACTATTTCCTGAATTAAGCACAGCTCTTTTATTTCCTGTCTTACATCATTGGACAAACTGATTAATCCAGGTGTGTCTGACTATTGGCATGCTGCCTTGCAGACCAAGGTTGAAAAATACTGCAATAAATTGCACATAAAATAACATGACCATAAATGGTAAATAGGCAATGCAAGAGGCAAGTAACAAAAACATTTTGTTTAATTTCATCATTTGTGTGAACACGAAAAATTATGAGCAGGTCACTGTTACAGTAATGGTAGTAAACACCACTTAGACAAAATGCCAGAAATTTACACTGTTAAATATTTCTGGAGTGTTGTGCCAAGGTCAACTTTATACAAAGATCAAGTGGATGCATTTGTGTGTGTGTGTGTGTGTGTGTGTGTGTGTGTGTGTGTGTGATACCTCATTTGTACAGAAATTTTGCCCTTCTGTCCTTCTGAGTGGCAAAGCTCTCGATGAGCTTTTTATTGAAGTCAGGAATGTTTGTGACAAGCTTTTTTTCCATGGAGAGCATGGCAAGAGCATTCAGCCCATCCTGTGTCATGGTGTTCCTCAAGGAAAGTCTTAATCCTCTTTAAAGTAGAAAAGCACCTTTCTGAGCTTGGGTGTGGTGACAAGAATCTTCTTTTGCATGGCTCAGGATGGTGTGAAAAACCTGTCATATGATAAATAAAAAACAACAGATAAGTACATAGGAAACACTTTTATAGGAAATAATGTCATCAGCATCCTCTTACAAATGTCATATTTCCCAATTTTTGTGACAATAAAACATTTCTGATTCTCAATCAGATGTTTTTACATTTGAAGTAAAAAGATCTCATTGAGAATCAGAAATGTTTAATTGTCCCAAAAGGGAAATTTGTTTGCTGCAGCAGAAGTGTAACAAGTAAACTGGAATCAGATTGATGTATGTACAAATTTACATGAAATACACATTTACGTGATTAAATATGTATAATAAGTATGTGTGTTGAAATGAGTTTTTACAGTTATTGCACATTAAACATGTTATTAAACAAATGTCCCGGTTTGTGGGACAACCAAGGATTTCTGATTCTGATTGTCTTGTTTACAGAAATGTAATGTACAGCTTACCTCTGCACCCAGCTGCTGTTGTTCCCTGCATGGCAACGTTAGCTCTGCTGCCTAGCATGGCTAGCTTCACCGTGTTGTTGTCCATGTGTGCCCGGGATGACTCGTGTTTCTTCACCTTCTCAGAAAAATGTTTCATGTCTGTAACTCCTGACTCATCCATGCCTTATCTGTCCCAGCCGTTTTGAATAACAAACACGGAAAGCAAAATAACGCATTAGCGTGATTGCATCCAGCTAGCCAAGCCTTCCTGGTGAACCAATTTTGGGAGAAGCCTCGTGTGTACAGTTTACCTCTCTCCTTGTCCTGCTGGCTTATCTTTACGTCGGGCTGATCTGGTCCAAGCTCTTTGACATTAAGTTTTTCCACCATAGTTCTCCTCTCGAACGGATACTGGAGAAGAGACTGAACTGAATTCAGTGGCTGCTGAGATCCGGTATCCATGCTGGTTGTTGTCACCGGCGGCGTCCATGTTACATCTGCGTCACGACCAAAAACGACTCTGCCGAGTTCTACCGAACACCAACGAATCCTTTGGCGGTAGCTCCATCGCCCATCATGCTTCTGAAACGTTCTGAAACAACGTCGACGCTGATTGGATACATTCCCATTCCTACCCTTTGATATTCTTGTCAGCAATTGGACAGCTGGTCTCGTCCTGTTTGGGCGATTGAAAAACAGCACACAGCCTCCACCGCTCGGCAGAGACCGGCAGAGATCGGCAGAGACCAGCAGAGACCAATATATATATATATATATATATATATATATATATATATATATATATATATATATATATATATATATATATATATATATATATATATGATTTATTTTTGTTACAAAACACACAATTAACTTAGAATATGTGATTATTGTTATTTTTATTTATTTTTTTTAAATATAAATTAAAAACACGGAAAAACTGGGAGGGCGGCGCCCTATCGCCCTCTACTGGCCAGCCGCCACTGCCTACAAGCGTTGCAGGTAACGAATGTCTTCGCCTGATTTAACTGAAAATGCTCCCAAACTTTCGAAGTTTTTTACTTTTTTTGGGTCTCGCTGCTTCGGCCATGTTCCTCTTCCAAACACCTGCCGGCTCTCCCTCGCGCAGATCTGACTTGCTCTGGTCCGCGCTCAAAGGCCGGGGGGGGGGGGGGGGGGGGGGGGGGGGGGCTTTGGAAGAGTTGTGCGACACAATGAATCGATGACGCAATTCGTTGCCAACGCTTTTAGTAATCGATTTTCATCGAATTTATCGATTCGTTGTTGCAGCCCTACTACTCATTTCACAGTTCAACTAAATATAAAAATTAAACTGTCAAACTAGTCCTACTCAAACAACAAGTGTTTAGACATTTTTGCTGTCCAGATTTTTAAATAATGTTCAGATTTCAGTTTTCATCTGTTTAGGATTGTTTTCTCCGTTCTTCACTTTTTGTGCTTTATTTACATTTTGGTGCTTTTTGCTTCTAAATCTTTAAATACATTCAGCTCATTTGAACAGTTTTGCTTAGTTTCAGCTTCACTTCAGCTATTCAGCAGCTTCAGCCATTAGTTTCTGAATTCAGCATATGATGCTAATTTCACAGTTCAGCTAAATGTAAAAATTAAACTGTTAAACTAGTCCTACTGAAATTTACAGGTGTTTAGACATTTTAGCTGTCCAATTTTTTTAAATAGTGTTCACAGATTTGAGTTTTCTGCTCTTTAGGATTAGTTTTCTTGATTCTTCACTGACTTGTTGTGCTTTTTTTGCTTCTTGATGCTTTTTGCTTTCACATCTTTCACTACATTCAGCTCATTTGACAGTTTAGCTTAGTTTCAGCTTACTTCAGCTATTCAACAACTTCAGCAATCAGTTACCAAATTTAGCATAAATGCTAATTTCACAGTTCACCTAAATGTAAAGATTAAACTACTAAGCTTGGCAAACTGAATTAACAGGTGTTTAGACATTTTAGCTGTCCAGATTTTTATTTAATGATCACAGATTTAAGTTTGTTTGCTGTTTAGCATTATTTTTCACTATTCTTCACTTACTTTTTGTGCTTTATTTGCTTGTTGGTGCTTTTTGCTTCTACATCTTTCAAGACATTCAGCTCATTTTGACAATTTTGCTTAAAGAGCAAGTAACGTCTAAATTAACTTTTTTTTCTGAAGAACTGTATAAATGAGTGTCTTATAGTGTTTTAAATGTGTGTGTATTCATTATTTTAGCATTTTGTGCATTTTCTTTAAAAATTAAAAATTCTGCCTAAATACCACAGTATAGCTCCACCTTCAGCTTAAAACATAGTATTTGACTCATTTTGAATAAATTTTATCCAATGGCTAAAGAGTAAGATACTACGTAAACCAGTAGAGTACTACGTAGCAGCTCTGTGTCAAAGTTATAAAGCATCGAGAGTCTCGGCCACGCCTTGTGGCGAGTTGGGAGTTGGATTTGCAAGCCAGTGTAGGAGGTCAGTGGTAGTTCGGCATTAGCATATAGCGTTAGCATATCCTAGTCTTTAGCATAGCTTTTAGTGTTATAAATACTTATTTAGTGTTAGTTTGGCTGTTGGATATTGTAGTTTAGTTAGTGTTTGGCTGTTAGTGTAAATAGGAAAGTAGTTCGGGTTTAGTGCTCCATATCATGTTAGTATGGTGAGAAGGTGTAGTGTAGTATGGTTGCGGTGGCTCTGTGGGGTTGCACTCCCTTCCGCTGGACTTAGAAATTAGGCACCAGTGGTTGAGCGCAATCGGTGTCTGGAAAACATTCAGCTCCCGCCTGGTGCTGTAGTTTGCACCCAGCATTTTACCCGCGATTCTGCACGTCTCCGTTTGAAGAGGGAGGCTGTGCCCACCGTGGCTCTTCCGCGATTTAGATGCAGCCCACCGACTCTGCTCCCCCATCACGGCAGGCTCCAGTCTGAGGTGAGTCAGCTAAATAACAGTTTTGACATCTTCTAAAGACAATTCCCTACCTAAATGCAAAGTCTGTGCGACGTGGTTCACTTCCTTTAGCTCGTCAGTCGGTAATTCTGCAACAGTGGCTCTAACTGACGCAGCACTAGTTGACACACAGCATTACAGTGTGAAATCCAGCTTGTGACCCGGTTCTGTAAGGAATTCTGTTCAGGAGGTCGCATTTCAGGCTCTCCACATCATGTGTGAGTGACTTTTACGTTATAACAACGATCACACACTAGGAATGTTATAAAGCGCCTATATAGGACAGTTTCTTTTGTATATTATCTGACTTTATAAACTCCAACAACAATGTGCTTCAATTTTTTTTTCAGGCTAAATCTACCCAAGACACTGGCTGTCAGACTGATTTAGCTGCAAGAATGCACTTGTCCAGGCTGACGTGAAGCCTTACCGGCGTAGCAAAGGTGAATTATTTTTAATAATCTTCTATGTAAACATTTTATTATCACCTTCTAGTTTTAATTTGTTTTACAGATTATAGTTACACGTGATTTTATGCTCTTTTAAACATTTATAAATGTGCTGTATATGTGTCGATGGTTTTTAACAAAGCCAGCCAGAATAGAGCTCACAGCCGCTGTGTGTCTTGTGACACAGGGACCATGACGGAAAATCATCTTCCAGAAGGTCCCAGAGCAGCGTCCACACCCTGAAAAGACCAAGATGTGAGGTGTCTGCTGTTGATTCCAGCTTCCACCTCAGTGACAGTGCAAGCTCAGTGAACTGTTCAAGGTAAAAAAAAATTGAAACATTTCAGAATTTTTAAGATATTAACAATTAAATAAGTATGTGATTACGTCATGACATCATGAAGGAGGCTACTGATTCTGGCCCTGTGACACTTGGTGGTGACATGTGAGCTGATTCACCTGGTAAATAACTTTTACATTAAATATTTTGTTTTTGCTATCAAAAGTAAATTAACTAATAACCTGCATTATTGCAGGACACTCAGCAAAATATGGACTCTACACCATGAGGCAGGCACACGTTAATATTCTATAAGAGCACATAAGGTGAGCAACACCACATATTATTATTGTTATTATTGTACACTGTCCTGGATTTGTTTTCTTTCTGCATCTCATCATTAGCCTGGCTGATCACCTGATAACTCCTGTCATCTGGTTGTGACAGCATGAGGATGTCCTCACACACCTGTAACCTATCAGCTCATCTGGCAGAATAGAGAGAAGAGACAACACCACATCTCCTGTTCCTGGAAAGCCTTCAGCCATCCTTCGATGACTGAGAACCTCCATCAGCTCTGTCTCCTGTCTGCCTACAATTATTATAATAAATATTGTGTTTGACAAGTTTTTTGTGCTGCCAAATATCTCATATAGATTCCAGTTTTGATATTTTAATGGACATTTATAAATAACATTAATTGAATTACCACATTGTTGCATGTTTAAATAGCTCTATTGTGATGAATTAAACTAGCACCTCACTGTTAAAAACTCGTTTTAATTTCAAGCATGTTTAAGTATTTATGGACATGAACAAAAACAGGAAATATATCAATTGAGATTTATTTAATTAATATAACAAATAAGGGGGAAAGAGTCATTGAAAGGCACATTCTTCCGGAAGCTCCTGATCCTGACGACACCAGCAGAGGAGACCAGCTGCAGACACCAGAAGATCACCTACAACCAAGAAAGCAGCTGTTATCAGTAAATAAATAATGAAATCAGGACAGTTTTAGTGGGCTGAACACATTACAGAATAATTTTCTCACGGGATATTTTCATAACTTTATGCAGCAGACTAGCTTGAGCCCAGGGCTCCTGGACAGCTGCTATCCAGCACGTTTCAGTGGTTTTCCTGCTTTAACAGGTTAGATTAGCTGTTAAGCAGCTCAGCTATTTGTTGCTGATTAAAACCAGGTGTGTTGAAGCAGATAAACCTCTAAAACATGCTGAATACTAGCTCTCTAGGGCCGTGGAGCTAATCGGATGCTATGGCTAACGGCTACTTACCATTCAGAGCTGGTTCTGTTGGGTCGGTTCCAGTAGTTTCAGGCAACTCACAAGCTCAAAACAATAAGGCTCAGGTCCGCTTGTCTCCTCCAAATAGACTTGGTCCCTTTCTTCTCGAGTGTCTGGGTAAGGAGGGGGAGAAACGTCCCCCACTTCTAATAACTGCTCAGAGTGAAGGGAGCTAGCATCGTCTAGTTAGCCATCGTCTTCGTCACTGCCGCGGCTCCGCCCTCTCGGTCCTCCAGGCAACGCCTACTAATGTTGCAGTTTTTAAAATTGATACGTGGGTGGAGAAGGACTCTGAGGGGGGAATTACCACCTCTTTAATTTCAGCTTCAGTTCAGCTGTTCAGCAGCTTCAGCTTACAGTTTCAGCAATCCAGCATTCAAACAGCATTTGTGCAATAAGGACTCTTTCTTTTTAATAAATCAAAGAACTCTATTTTTAATAAAGCTAATCAAACAAAGTGTTAGTCAGTAATATAATGCTGACCAATCTGTGAAATGACAATGTTATGATTAGTAAGTTTAATGAGTAATATGACTTTAGTCTAGCTGCACTAGACATCTTGATCCACGTAATGTAAACGCATGGCACATTGCTCTTTCTCATCCAATCATAAGCATGGCATAGTCTCTGTGGTGTTTATAAATCTGTCCAACTTCGATTCGACCATAAATCAAAACATCCAGATGAATAAAACCAGTCCCCACGCCATCTTAGTTCAGTTCACTGCATTCTAAGAGAAGTATCGGACCGGCCACCTGGACTTCCTTTTTAAGCAAAGAACCAACAAGCTGGATAAAATCTGTTGCATTTTACCAACCAAACAACGGTTCCTTTCAGAATAAAAGCTGAACTCACTGACCCCAAGGGGGATCCATCTGACGCTGTCAACCAACTGTCGCTTTTTACCTGGAGACAATCCAAAGACTAGTCTGTCGTACTGCTGACGCTGTTTCATCGGCTCCGGTACCGAAGGGGGGTCCGAGGACCTGGCATTCTGGATCTGTACAGAGGTCTCATCCTGAAGGGTATGTGTGGAGCGACAACATGGCGTCTTATGTGTTTATGAAACTCCGATCATAGCTTAAGAGCAAAACATCATTTCATCATTCAGACTTGCTTCTCCGGATACGAGAGTTCTGATGACAACATCACTCACACATACACCATTCATCTCACGTCTCATTCACACCAAGATCCATCCATTCACTTAGAATTTAGAGTTAGTCTTGTTTAAAATTGTTTAGAAATAAATCTTCTTAAACGTTTTAAAGGTGACTCTCTTCTGTTGTCTCTCAGTTAATACGAAGTGGTACATAATCCCTGCAATAAAAAGTTCCAATCTTCTGGTTAAAACTACCCAAAGATCCATAAGATTGATTTCATATTTACTATGGAATCTCATGTCTTATGGTTCATTAAATAATATTAAATTAACCCTTTACAGAGCTAAGGCGGTGGCTGAACAGAGAGGCAGGAAGCAAACGCCGAACGTGCCGCAGCAGGCGAGATTTAAAAAATTGTTTATAAAATAAGGTCTATTTTATTTGTCGGTGTTGTCGTGACGAGTTGACTAATCATGGCAGCCCTAGACATCTTGCTGCGGCTGCCTCTTGCTCTCTTTTGGTTTGAGAGGGGAGGGCCTGGTGACGTAGCGTGCCTGAGTCTGTGGTTTTGATTGGTTAGGAGTAAGTAGAGTCTAGTATGCTGCTACCTGATAGGTTATAATGAAAAAAGGAAACTTTAACGAAGTTTTACTGACCAGTTTCAAATCAAATCAAAGATACTTTATTAATCCCAGAGGGAAATTAGAGTTTTTTACCTATCGCAACACATGTCTATCGATAGATATATTGAACTATTGAATTATCGTCCAGCCCTACCTTATCGACTTCCTTTGTCTTCATTCTTCTCTTGGGCTGGAAAGGAAAACAGTTTAGAAGCAAATGAATGAGACCTTGAGGCAATATCTCATGCAGATTAGTTCCTGCTGAGGAGAGGGGGAAAATGACTTTTAGGTGGAAAACAGTTATTTAATTTCGTTACAGCTCCGAGGCGCATGCACAGTGGTGGCCATCCAGCTCAGCCTTCATCATCGGAGAAAGTGTCGAGTCGCAACATATCTGAAAAGTTTGGGAGCATTATACTAATTCAAAAGAAAACCACTTAGTGCAAACTCTGCAAAGCGAAACTCTCCTTTCACAGTAGCACATCAGCGATGCACGAGCATCTTAAGGGAAGTACAGAGTCGCCTCAGTCACCTCCGCGTGTTTGAATTTGCCCCTCTTTTATGTTGATTTTATTTCCCTGTTTTCATTGGTCTCTTTATCCTTTGTTTTACCCATTTGTCTTCTACTTTAATGTTTTACCTTTTTTGCACTATTCGAATTGCTTTTATTTTTGATTTCTTCATCATGTTTCACATTTCTCATGTACCATGTTCAGCGCCTTGGAAGGCGCTTTATAAAAAAACCTTTGATTGATTGATTGATTGATTGACTGAAGTTTACCTCTTGTTAGCTGCTAACATCAACAGAGTTACTTGTATTTATAGCTGCATCAACACCAGTAGAGACAGTGATGTTGTTACCTTTAGAACATGTTTGTATGTCACTTATTTTTGCTCCAATTACAAACACTAATGATTTATCTCATCCCGCTCCATTAAAGTGGAGTTTACAGACATATAAATGACAACAACCATCTACAGTCAGGTCCATAAATATTGGGACATTGACACAATGCTAACATTTTTGGCTTTATTCACCACCACAATGGATATCAAATTAAATGAACAAGATGTGCTTTAACTGTAGACTGCCAGCTTTTATTTGAGGGTATTTACTGTAATGAGTTAATTTACATGTTATTTAATGAGCCATAAGACATAGGATTCCATAGGAAATATGAAATCAACCTTATGAATCTGTGGGTACTGTTTAACCAGAAGATTGGAACTTTTTATTGCAGGCATTAGATAACCTCGTATTCAGAGACAACAGAAGAGTGAGAGTCAGGTTTTGAAAGTTTAAAGATGTATTACTTAACAAATTGAAACTAGACTAACTTAAACACTAAATGTATGGTGTAACTAAGGTGAATGAAACGGAGAATGATGTAGTGTGGAATGTTGCTCAGAACCAGCAAATCCGAAGAAGCGATTAGTTCTGATGGGAAGTGAGGGTGATCTCTTTGCACTAAGCTTTGGTTAGGAGATTCATAAACACATTCAACGCCATTTCGTTGGCCTACATACCCTTTTGGAAGTCCCCGTTAGATTAGGAATGTCGAGGTCCGCCTGGACCCTCTCTGGAACCGAAGCCGGTAGGAAAAGCAGCGTTTGCCGACCAGACCAGTCTTGAGATACTTCCAGGTCACAACAGTTTTGTTGGCATCTAGCGAGACCCAAACCTGGGTCGTGATGGTTCAGCTTTTATTCTGAAAAGAACCGTTGCAGCAGTTGGAACAGCAACAGATTTTATCCAGCTTGTCATTGATTCTTTCGACTGAAGAGGAAAGTTATGGATTGGCCACTCCGACAACTTCTCTAGAACGCGTTGAACTGGCGTTAAAGATGACATGGGCATAGTTTTATAATTTGGATGTTTTGATTTATGGTCGAATGAAAAGATGACAGATTTACCAAACACCACCAAAACCACGCCTCCGTCAGATCTGGCAGATTCTGATTGAATCAGTAAACGCAATGTGTCACTATGTGAGATCAGTCCTAGTGGAAACATTTAAAGTGTATATTCTATAGGATTATAATAAAGTAATTAATATTTTTATTTCACAGATTGGTCACATCTTATTATTGACTAACACTTTGACTAGCTTTATTAAAAATAGAGTTCTTTGATTTATTAAAAGGAGAGAGTCCATTCTTCATTCTTCTCTTGAGCTGGAAAGAAGCAGTTTATAAGCAAATGCATGAGACCTTGAGGCCATATCTCATGCAGACTAGTTCTGTGTCAGAGGAGAGGGGGAAAATGACTTTTGGTGTAAAACTTTGTAGGAATTACAATAGTATGCATATGTGCCTCCCACTTGTTAAGGGGAGGCACATAGTGCCCGAAAGAACCGGGTGTGACCGAAAGTGACCGAAAGAACGAGATCGCAGATACAAGCGACCGAAATGAGTTTTCTCTACAAAGTGGCTGGACTCTCCCTTAGAGATGGGGTGAGAAGCTCAGTCATCTGGGAGGGGCTTAGAGGAGATTTGCTGTTCCTTCAGATTGAGAGGAGCCAGTTGAGATGGCTCGGACATCTGGTCAGGATGCCTCCTGGATGCCTCCCTAGTGAGGTTTTTCGGGCACGTCCAACAGGGAGGAGACCCAAAGAAAGACCCAGAACACGTTGGAGGGACCATGTTAATCCAGCTGGCCAGGGAACACCTTGGGATTCCCCCGGAAGAGCTGGCCCAAGTGGCTGGGCAGAATGAAGTCTGGGCCTCTTGATTTTGGCTGCTGCCCTCACGACCCGACTCCGGATAAGCGGATGAAAATGGATGGATGGATGGATGGATGGATGGATGGAGTAAAAATTGAGACAAGGACATCTGTAGCATCTTCATTGTATTCCATGCATGAAGCTGAAGCAGAGGGCAGTTCGGAAGGCTTCCCTTAAATGAGACCAAGTTCACTCATTTCATTTTTGGTCTCTAGTATACACGGATGCCTTGTGATTCGATGTCTGTGGGTAAAAAAGATCTCGTGCTCCTTTTTCAGGAAGTAGAAGTTAGCGGGAGCAGAAAACAGCAGGACGTGGCATCTGAAGCCGGGCGTACACTGTGCGACTTTTTCACTCGCAGCGTTCAGCTTCAGCTCAAACTGTACGACTTCCTCGCAGAGCAGATCTCACGAGTCATGTGCTCACACTGTACGACCCAGTTCTTGCATGCGACCTGAATGCTCACACTGTACGAGTGCCGCAGCTAAAAATTAGCCAGTAGATGACGCAACACGTTGGAATTACAAACACGAAGAAGAAAACCCCGGAAGTAAACACGAGGGAAAACGAAAACAACACGTTCGGTTCCGAGCAGAATAGCGCTTGCATGCTCGCTGTTAACCGCAATAATGCCCGTCAAAACAAGACGTTTGTCTTTGGCTCTTCTTGCCATCATGTGTGTAGATGAAAAGAAAAAGAGAAGACGAATGTGGACAAAGAAATGGCTGGGCAGACGTTGCCAGTATGGTTTGTCAAATCTACAGCAGGAATTGGAGGTAAGATGTTTGAAATTGTCTTTTCCTTATGTAACTACAATTGTATCTATGGACTTAAATTACATTTTGACCAGCTGATGGACTTTGGGGTGGTGGGTGGAGTGACAACCACCATTTGTAATGCTGTTGCATTGGTGTGTGAAATAGATCGATGATATGAAGGGGTTTCGGGACCTTCTCCGCATGTCTGTGGAAGAATTCAACGACCTTCTGGAGAGAGTGACCCCTCAAATCATCAAGAGAGACACACACACCTGAGGAAGGCGATCAGTCCTAGGGAGAGGCTCTCTGTGACACTGAGATTCCTTGCAACAGGCAAGAATATACACACACACACACACTCTCTCTCTCTCTCTCTCTCTCTCTCTCTCTCTCTCTCTCTCACACACACACACACACATCCAAATCAAGTTTACACATTATGAAACACTTTCTTAATCTTTATAGGTGAGACCTACAATTCCTTATCTTTCCAGTTCAGGATTGGGAGCACCACACTGAGTCGCATTGTGATGGAAACCTGTGCAGCCATAGCGCTAGTATTACGTGAGGAATACCTAAAGGTAATTTTTTCCCTGCCCTAAAACAGCTCATTCACCTGTTCATCCACCCATCACGCTGTGCAGAAGCAATTTATTCACCTGCTGATGTAAATCTGGTGTGTTTGATCAGTAAAAACTGTAAAACATGATTGATAAGGACCCTCAAGTAACAGAGTGGCATGTGGCACATCACAGATTCATGCACATACAGTTGGAACGTAAAAGTTGTTATTGAAGTGTGTTTACATTCTGAGGATTATGAACCTGTTGAGTGATAGTGAAATGTGATGCATTGCACCAGATTTAGCTAGAAGCTAATTTGCAAGTGCAGTCCTGATTAAACCTGAGACTAATATAATGTATCACCATGTACTTCTTCCACAGACACCATCAACTGAGACTGAGTGGAAGGTCATCGCTAAAGACTTTGAAGACAAGTGGCATTTTCCACATTGCATAGGGGCCATAGATGGGAAACACATCTTCATTCAACCCCCTGCCAACAGTGGAAGCACGTTTTATAATTACAAGTCAAGGTTTTCCATCATACTTACGGCTGTAGTTGACACAAATTATAGATTCGTATATGCAAGTGCAGGGACACAAGGAAGGGCATCTGATGCTGGAGTGTTTGCCCATTCTGATCTCAGAGAGGCTATGGACACAGGCACTCTGAATGTCCCTCCTGATGCAACCCTGCTAGGCACTGACTCCACAATGCCATATGTGCTCATTGGTGACGAAGCATATCCCCTTAGGCCAGATCTGATGAAACCATATCCATCATGAAACCTCAACCATGATCAAAGGATTTTCAACTACAGGCTTTCCAGAGCACGCCGTGTTGTTGAGAACGCATTTGGAATTCTGGCCAATCGCTTTCGCGTTTTCAGAACCACAATTTGCCTGCATCCAGACAAAGTTGTTGCAGTTGTTTTTGCAACACTTTGTCTCCACAACTTCCTCCAACAACAGAGATCAGATGCCTACACACCACCTGGCTTTGTGGATTCTGAAGATGCAAACCATCAGCTGGTCAGCGGCACATGGCGAAGTGAGGGAGCCCTTCAGTCAGTTTCGGCAAGCAGAGCTAGGAACCCCTCAGTGGAGGCTAAGAAACAACGTGATGTGTTAGCCCAGTACTTTGTCTCACCTGCAGGAAGAATTTCCTGGCAGGAAAACATGGTGTAGCTTCATATGCGCTAAACTTCTGTAAATAAAGTGAGAGCATTGGTTCCACTCAGTCATAAGCTCAGATGGTGTTCCTGTCTGGCTGTGGGAGTGGAGTGATGCATTTTCTTATGTTTGTAACATTTGTGAGCAGTACATTAAAGAATTTTTCAAAAAGTTTTTATTTATGAAAACTATTTAAACAACGGCAGATAAAAAACAGTAATTTACATATACACCAAAAAACCTGTGTGGGAGAAAAAAGGGCAAACTTTCCCTTTTTAAGACAAAATGATTAAAAAAAACTAAAACAAAGATACTATTGATAAAAATAATTAACTAGTCTGAGTTGAGCAGGTGTCTGTATGACATTGGCGATGGTGATCGCAAAAAGTTGTCATTCCGTGGTGACAGCAACTCTGCACTGCATGTGGAAGGAAGGTGCAGGACTGACATGGGGAACAGGACATTGTCCAGCCTGTTCTGCTTCTTGTGCATCATAAATTAAGTTCATGATGCTTCTCCTGAGCCTCAGCTGTGAATGTTTGTCCTTGACATTCCGCATTTCTTCGGCTACTTGTTGGCCAAACTGCTCCTCAGCATCCGATTGGCTCAGTGAACTCTGTACTTGCTTGAGTAATGACAGTTTGACCATCTCTAGGTTTTGCTCAGATTTCTTGCTGGTGTTCATTTTGTTTGAGTTGTGCATTCTGGGTTTTTGGGTGGGCTGCCTCATGGATCGGCTTAACTCTGAGCTGTTTGAACTGCTTTCCTCCTCTTCTTCCAAGGCTGGAGATGAATTGGACACATCAGCGTCACTATGCGGAGCAGACGGGTCCTCGCTCCCCTCTTCAATGCTGCCCTCATCTGTAGCACATGAGGCATCTGAATCCATGCTAAGCTGCATTGGAAAACATACAAAATAGATGGATGAGGGTTAATAAATATGAGATCTTATTAATTGTATTATGTGAGGAGTACATTTCTTATGGTGTGGCTATATTGTGTGTGTGTGTGTGTGTGTGTGTGTGTGTGTGTGTGTGTGTGTGTGTGTGTGTGTGTGTGTGTGTGTGTGTCTTGCTTATGAACTTACATTAGAGACTGGCTCTGTGAATTACATGGGGCCTCAGGAAATCCAAATTGGCCAGCAACCATTTCTGTTTGGGAGTGAGTTGTTTTTGGCCACTGCCACTGGCTTTCGGCCTCATCAGTTTGCCATATTGTGTGCGAAGTGATGCCACACGTGTTTTCACCTCGTTCACTGAAAATCAAAGAACATAGATTATAACATTTTGTGAAGTCTCTAATTTCCCTCTGGGATTAATAAAGTATTGAAGTTGAATTGAATTACATCAGTTCGTTAGTTACTGTTTCAAGCAATAAATAGGCAAATGTATTATCTAATGTTACTACATGTTACTGTTAATATTGCTTGATTGTTACTAGAAACAATACAGTTCATAGATGCTTACCTGGCAGCTGCAACTGTGTGGCAATTGCTTGCCAATCTTTCTCCCGGTTGTTGCGGTCGTGATACGTCTTTGTGCCCACATCGTAAAGGTTTGCGTGACCTTGCCAAAGTTCCACAAGTTGAGCCTCCATTGCTGAAGTCCAAACAACACGTTGTTGTGCCGTAGCCATGCTGCTAGCTGTATGTGCTGTAGCCATGTTGTACTCGTCGACTCGTCGTCTTGCCTGATTTGTTTGTCGCTTCCGCTTCCTAAATTGTGCCCCTGCTTTCGTGTTTGCGCATGCGCCGTTAGCGGTTCTGATACTTTTTGGATCGCAGCTGCTCGCAGCGCTGCTTCAACAGTGCGATACCCTCACGAGGGACGAGCGAAATATTAAACACACCAGAAGTCCCTGCGACCTCACAACTGCTGATCGGCAGCTGGTCACGTGGTGTTAATCGCCTCTCGTAACCCCCTGTACACTACACGACCGCTCGGCGCAAAACTCGCCCCAATGTCGTGGATTCTCGCACGAGTGGAAAATTGGCTCAAAAAAGTGAAAAAGTCGCACAGTGTACGCCCGGCTTTACTCATTAATTCCTGTACTTGCTTGGATGTGGTTCTGGGTTTACAGTAGTGAGCTGGTCTTGTGTGTTGGAAGTGCAGTGCATGTTGAGGCACACATTAGCTACAGGATGGCTGCTTGGACTCATGTTTACAATGTAGTTAGTTTACAAATGGCTTTTCCTCTTGTTTTTATTCTACTACTTATGTCTGGAGCTCTGGTTATACTTGGTTAAAACGAGTTTTATAAACTGGAACTTGTGTTTTTGAACCTTAACCACTCGTCCAGCTATGTCGTGACTGAACTTATGCAAAGTGACCTCCATAAGATCATCGTATCACCGCAGCCTCTGAGCTCAGACCACGCCAAAGTTTTTCTGTATCAGATCCTACGAGGTAGGTGTTTCTGTTACTTGTGTTGAGACGTGTGGTTTCACAACAGGATGGAGATGGCTGGTTATATAGCAACTTCAGTTAAATATTAGTTTTATATAAAGTATGAAATCTACGTGAGTAGAGCAGTCATTCTTTTGTTTCTTAGTTTTCCCTGCAACAGTAAGTTGCATAACTCGGTCTTCATAAATCATCGTGCTCTGTGATGTGATATTGACCAACCTTTGCCCTGGCTTGAAGAGAAAATGAAAGGCTTCTCTAATGGGTAAGGTGAGCAGCGGAGTCATCCCTGAGGCAGTCAAACATGGAAGTACGGTTGTTAAGCAAATGAAGGAGCCGGGTGAGGAGGTCGGATGTATCCTGGACACCTCCAAACGCAAAACTCATTACAAGTAGGTTTCTATCCAGGACTTATGAGGGAGTGTTCTTGGAAATGCCTCCAAGTCCTCAGATGAGGAGGTGGAGCTGGAGCAGGAGGTAAATGGGTCCAGGTGGATGGCTTTACCTGGGCTACTTCTAGTAGATATTGTTTAGGTGGCCTATGTTTGTTCTCCAGGACTGATGAGCTAAGCCAGCTGTAATGTCTAATTCTGCAGGACTTAAATACCTTCACTCTGCTGGGATACTACACCGAGACATCAAACCTGGCAACCTCCTGGTTAATAGTAATTGTGTACTCAAGGTGTGTATTTCATGTTTTTCCACATTCAGTTGTGATGTATCTTTGTTCAGAAACACTATTAGCTGGTCCTGACCATCTTCCCTTATAGATCTGTGACTTTGGCCTTGCGCGGGTGGAGGAGACGGATGAGTCCCGGCACATGACTCAGGAAGTGGTGACGCAGTACTACAGAGCACCAGAGATCCTCATGGGGAGCCGCCACTATTCCAACTCCATTGATATCTGGTCTGTGGGTTGCATCTTTGCAGAGCTGCTGGGACGTCGAATCCTCTTCCAAGCTCAGAGTCCCATTCAGCAGGTGACTTCTGATCTCTGAGACAAAACCATTCGACAAAGGAAACTTTTCATCATCTAATAGTTTTTTACTGTGGTAAAACATGTAGAGAAAAATGATCGGTGGGAAAAATAAGGGACCAGGAATTTTCCAAATCGTTTGAGAAAATGTTCTGCTTCGTATCTCAACTCATTTACAATTACAGTTCCAGATTTAGTTCTACCTGATTTTAGATGAATAAGTCATCAGTTGGTACCATCATCATGGACTTGGTTGGTTGTCTCCATATGTGTCCTGGAAATGACTTTAAATTCCAGCAAGAGGGGGTGCAACATCTCATACAAGCTGCAGAACTCAACACCTGGGTGATTTGGTTCTGGCATTCATAAGTCAGGATAAGGGACATCACAAAGTCCAGACTGTGATCTAATGGACTAGTGTGTGGGAGTCCCAAAGAGAGAGAGTGTATCTATAAAAGCACAGAGGAGGATCTGGAGGCAAAAATCAAGGAGAGCATCTTGAGTGATCCAGAGTTCGTCTGGGTAACAGGAGCTTCTGCAGCCAGAATGCCACCAAATCAACCATTTATTCAGGTGGAATAAAACCCAGACCCACATGTTTTTAAACCCAAGCATAAGTTTGATCCCAGGCAAAAATAGGATATCAAAACCCCCAACCTCCCATTATCCGGCAATGTGATGGCATCATGTAGTAAGTAAATTTTATTTGTTTAGCACTCATCACAGACATGGAATCACAAAGATCTTCACATAAATCGAAATAAAACATAAATCATAAAAGAATATTTAGATTAAAATCAGAAAAATTAAGTCATAAAATTATATAATACCATAAAACAAATGAAAGAAGATTTCTAATTTGAGTTAAAAATAAGAAAACAAAAGATTTAGGTAAAAGCAACTTTAAATAAAAGGGTTGTCAGCTGTTTTTTTAAAAGTGTGCAGACTGCCAATGCTACGTAAGGAAAAAGAAAGAAAGTCGAGGTGCAACAGTCTGGAAGGAGCGATCACCTCGACTTTTATATCTGGTCCGTGGAACTTCTAGAAGGTTCTGGTGGGTGGACGTGAGGGCTCGGGTTGGAGCATAAGGCTTTAACAGTTCAGTAATATAGGGAGGAGCTTGACCCTGTAGATTCCATCTTTCAGTTCTTTTTAAAACACAGAAAAGGTTTAATTACCTGCAACGTTTCGTTTGCGGCTGCAAACATCATCAGGTTGACGCCGTTGACCATGTAGAGCAGGGATTCCCAAGCTGCCGCTAGGGGGTGCGCAAGGTGAAAAGTGTAATGGCTGCGGAGCTCAGAGAAGTCTGTCAAAAGTCACCATAAAAGGTTGGTTTATGCTTGACGCGTCCGCAAGGTCCGCGCGGAAAAGTTGCGTCATTTTGCGTCATTTTAACAACCACGCCCCTCCACCGCGCCTCCGCACGGCCCAGAATTTCCGCAACGCACACATCGGAAAATGTCTAACCACGCAGACGGTCGGACGCGGAAAAACATGGCTGACTGGCAAGAACTAGTATGGCAGAGGTTGGTAAATACAGACATTTGTATGATTCAGCTCTCAGAGATCACCGTGATCAACATGTTGTAAATAATTCTTGGAGAGAAATAGCTCGCACTGTCGGAAAAGACGAGGACGCTGTTAAAAATGCTGGAATGCCATGTTGTAAACAGTAATTTCTACTTCTACTATGGTGAAGTGTTGGGTGCATGCCGTAGAGCTCCATGCTGCCCCGTTCAGTTTGGGAGAATATTGGCTCACCGCAGAGACGAGCCGCACGAACCATAAACGCTGCGAGTTGTGAAGCGCGTTCCATCCGCGAGCCGCATCACCGCGCGGAAAGTAAATGCGTCAAGCATAAACCTAGCTAGCGTAGCCAGAAACTCATTTGTGGGTGGGCCTAAGAAAATGTAAGTGGGCCCAATAAATGTAATTGAAAACAAGTATATTTTGCTTGTGTGTGTGTGTGTGTGTGTGTGTGTGTGTGTGTGTGTGTGTGTGTCCTCCGCACATGCCCTAGCTCAGGAGTCGGCAATCCGCGGCTCTGGAGCCGCATGCGGCTCTTCCATCCATCTGATGCGGCTCTCTGTGTTTGTAAAATAATTAATGGATATTTAAATAAAATGCTTTATATTTTACTGCATTAATTTTACATCTGTAAGCTAATTCTAAATGTAAAGATTGTCTGCGTAAACCTGAACAGGTCCAACCCGGTCTTACTGTGAGACCGGGTTGACGCATCACGCTTGTGAGTAATCATATTGGCGCTTCCTGAGCTGAAGCCGATGTGAGATTCTGGGACTCTCCTCAGACGCCACATTGGAGACAGGAACAAGCACAATTCAGCCAAAGTTTCATCATCAGGGAACATTTTCTAAGTGACAAGTCTCTCTGAGAGACCGGGTTTGGAAAACTCTCGCTTCAGTGGAAGGAATCTTCCCGCATGCACTCTGGTTCTGCAACGCGCTCCAAGCCCCTCTCCACATCTTCAGCTTGCTGTGCATCGTACGTATGCACTGACAGTGAGCTCCGCTGAGCGGTGTCCAGCTCAGATGTTCAGAAGGAAATCTTTTCTTGAGTGATTTAGTTACATCTGCGATTTGCGAAACGAGTAAAGTGTCAGTTCGTCTGCATGTGTTGGGGTAATTATTTCTATTCTTTCTCCGTCAAAATAAACGGCCAAATATGGGAACTGTCAGGTCAACACAAGCCCTGCTTTTAACTGTTCTGTTTTCTTGTGAAAATTGTTACAAATTTAACTTGATTACCACCAGAGCCAGGCGCACTGCGCCGTTATCTCCGTCACTGTAAATGAGGGAAAAACAAAATGATCGGATCCTTTTCTGACCTTCCCCACCTACAAAGTTTAATTACAACAATCAAACGTGACAGAGCCTGGATTTGTATTCTGAACAGTCTAAACATGTTTTAAAAAGAAACGTATGACAAAAGTGGCACCTGCTCAGTAAAACCACCAACAGGGTGAAAAATATCAAAATATTGTCGGCAGAGACGGGCTACAACTTCCGGATCCACTTTATATAAATCGTTTTATTGATTATCTTCTTATGAAAGATAGCTTTGACGTACACGAGCGACCGGTACTGGCTGCTGTCACCTGTTGTGAGCAGCGCTCTGCTGTCTGAGGGTAGGCCCCGCCCACAATGCCGCGGCTGCTGCGGTGTTTTCTTTACTGTGGGAAACGGGTAATAATGGCTCTTTTATGGGAACAGGTTGCCGACCCCTGGTTTAGCGTGACGTCTGATATATATATATATATATATATATATATATATATATATATATATGAGGCTGGGGGTGCGTCAACATGGTCGGGACATAGAAGGGGGTGCGCGGCTAAATAAGTTTGGGAACCACTGATGTAGAGCCCTGATAGTTCTAGTCAGGACTCTAAAATGAACTCTAAAGTTAACGGGTAACCAGTGCAGAGACATCAGAATAGGAGTGATGTGTGCTCTTCTGTTTGCTCCAGTTAGGAGTCTCGCTGCAGAGTTCTGGACCAACTGAAGGCGGCCAAGGGCTTGTTTGTTAAAACATGTGAAGAGTGTGTTACAGTAATCTAGACGGGAGGAGATAAAGGCATGGAGAACCATTTCAGGTTCATGTTTTGACACCAACCTTCACAGTTTGGAGATATTTCTTAAATGATAAAAACAGTTTCGGACCAGCGTTTTTGAGTGACCTTCAAGAGACATTGATTGGTCAAAAACACCCAAATTCCTTAAGTTTGTCCCGACGGCAGAAGATAAATGACCAAGTTTTAGACTAATCAGGGGAACCCTGCTATCTTCTAGCCAGCTGGTGATAGCTGATAGACACTAGTAATTCAGACAGTTTACATATGTAAGGTTCAGTGGAGTGGTATGTGTGATTTAATGGTTTTACATTTGTGTTCAGTTGGATTTAATCACTGACCTGTTGGGAACACCTTCTATGGAAGCGATGCGGACAGCATGTGAAGGGGCTCGTGCACACATCCTCAGAAGTGCTCACAAACAGGTGAAGTACTTTTAAACAAGTATATAGACTTCTGTCTCTTTTAAATCCTTAACCCATTAAATAACACCAAACAGACACCTGACTAAATCATGTCATCATTATCAGTCACTTTGGGAGACAGCTGCAGAGGAGTGAAGTTCCTGCTGCGTATCTGGAGGGTTGCAGGCTTGCTGCTGGCTCACTAGTGCCCTTGAGCAAGGCACTCTGCTGGTGGTGTCTGTGTACAGCAGCACCACCCCGTCAGCATTCACCAGAGCTGCTGTGGCTCGTCACCTTCAGTGTGGGAATTTGTGAATGACTGGTGTGTTGTAAAGAGCCTTGGGGGGGTTCGAGTACTCTAGAAGGTGCTATAGGGAGCCTAAGTCACGCCCATCTACTTCCGGACCATGGGTCCCCGGAAGAATAAAAAAATGAATGCAAGTCAACGGGGCTAAAAACACTGTTTTCTTATTCCGCTTCTTTTGTGCCGTGGATTTCACGATGTACGTGAATTTTAAAGAAGCATTTTGATACCAAGGGTTAGGGTTAGGGGAAATCAATCAATCAAAGCTTTATTTATAAAGCGCCTTCCGCAACCCTGTCAGGAAGCCCAAGGCGCTGAACATGGTACAGTAGAAGTACAAATATAGTGAATAAATCAAAAATAAAAGCAATTCAAAAATAAAAGCAATTCAAATTACAAAATACAAATTACAAAAAAGGTGAAACATTCTAGTACAGGACAGATGGGTAAAACAAGGGATAGAGTGAACCAATGAAAACTGTGAAAGAAATTCAACGTAAAAGAGGGCCGAATCAAACATGTTCAGGAAACGCCAAGCGGAGAAGATGGGTTTTTAGGCGACTCTTAAAGGCTGGCAGAGATGGGGACAGCCTAACTGAGGGTGGCAACTGGTTCCAGAGTGACGGTGCTAGGACTGAGAAAGCCCGGTCCCCGCGAGTACGACACCTAGAACGAGGGACAGCGAGCAGGCCTTGGTCAGAGGAGCGCAGAGCGCGTGATGGGGAATGTTTGTTCAGGAGAGTGGCCAGATAGGGGGGAGCACCACCCTGGAAGAAATTGTAAACAAAGACGAGAATTTTAAATTGTGCACGATAGCAAACCGGAAGCCAGTGCAGGGAGGCCAGAACCGGACTGATGTGGTCCCGTTTCCTGGTCCCAGTCAGGAACCTTGCTGCACTGTTCTGCACAACCTGTAGGCGACGCAGTGATGACTGACACAACCCTGCATAGAGAGAGTTGCAGTAATCAAGCCTAGAAATAACAAAGACATGCAGTACCCGCTCCAGGTGGGCTCTCGACAGCATAGGCTTGATCTTTGCAAGGCGTCTCAGGTGAAAGAAACTGGACCGGATCACTGAGTTGATGTGAGCATCAAATTTAAGTCCAACATCAATTTTCACTCCCAAACTGGTAACAACTGGTTTTGAGTATGGAGAAAGAGGGCCAAGATCAACATAACGACCCACATTCCTGCTATTAGGGTGAAAAACAATGAGCTCTGTCTTTCCCTCATTCAGATGCAGATAGTTGGCCATTAGCCAAGCCTTCACCTCATTAACACAGGAGACAAAGGACTGAATAGAGTGACCTTTCTCCTGACACAATGGAGAGTAAATCTGGCAATCGTCAGCATTGAGATGGAATGATAGGCCATGTTTACGAAAGATTGACCCCAGAGGTAGCAGATAAATGGCAAACAAAAGAGGACCAAGGATCGATCCCTGCGGGACCCCCCAGCGGAGCCCCTCCCAAGATGAAAAAACATCACCCAGTTTAACACAGAATGTCCTGTTGTGGAGATACGATCTAAACCAGTCCAGAGCTGACCCTTTGATCCCAACCCATCGTTCCAAGCGATCGAGTAGAATCGCGTGGTCAACTGTGTCGAAGGCTGCTGTCAGATCTAACAAAAGAAGCACCACAGATGCTTGATACTTACTTATCTATTTAGTAAGCTTTTACTTTTAGCATGACTCTCTAATATTTTGCTTTTACTGTATTATACCTTGTTCTTTTTTTCTATTGTATTATGCTGCTGAGAGACCGCTGCTCGTCAAACACATTTCATTGCAATGTTGACCCTGTGCTAACTTGCATATGACAAATAAACTAAACTAAACTAAACTAAAAATGTTCCATGATCTTGTGATAGATAGATGTCATTTAGGACCCTCAGTAGAGCAGACTCTGTGCTATGGCCAGACCTGAACCCTGATTGGAAAACCTCAAACATATCAGAGTCAGCTAAATGTGAGACCAGCTGCTGATAAACGACTTTCTCAAGCAGTTTTGATGTAAAGGGCAGGGTAGAGATAGGCTTGTAATTTTCTATCACAGAGACATCAGCACCAGGTTTCTTCAGGGTCGGCCGGATAACTGCTGCTTTCAAAGCAGCTGGGACCACACCTGTGCTGAGGCTCCCATTGATAATCTGACCAAGTGAAGGGCCAAGACACGGAAAGGCAGCCTTCCAGAGACGAGGCGGCAGAACGGAGAGCCAGATGGCTTCTGCCTCGCAACTAGCTTACTCAGCTCAGAGTATGAAACTGTATTGAGGGAGCTCAGGGTGGGTGGTGATGGAGGAACTGGAACAGGGTCAACAGAGTTACCAGAAATAGCTGCTCTAATGCCTGATACTTTATCCAAAAAGAATCTGTGAAAAGCTTCAGAGTTTCCAGCAGCTGTAGGAGACATGGAGCTAGGCTCCTGATACACCAGAACTGAGTTTAGTGTTTTGTAGAGAATCTTAGGATTATTGGAGTTTGTTTCAATGATGTCTGCAAAATAGGCCATTCTGGCAGCCCTCACTGCATCCTGATAAGCAACCAGAGATGCTTTGAACAACTCACGCGAGACCTGTAGGCCATCCTTTTTCCACTTTCTCTCCGAGGATCTACACGCCCGCCTACAAGCCCGTGTGACATCAGAGAGCCAAGGCTCCCTCCTAGGCCTAGACTTGCAAAGCTTGAGAGGGGCAACCATGTCCAGGACCTGAATACAAAGTACATCAGTGTTGTGAATAGTGATCAATGTTAGATGGATCAGGGTTAAAGGTCTCTAACCTTACGGACATACAGTCCACAAACTTTGAAATAGTTTCTGCATCCAGGGCTCTGAACCTAGTAGCTGGAGCTTCACACACAGGGACAGGACATGGCAACGTAACATCACAGAGTATTGGAGAGTGGTCAGAGAACACAGGAGGCAAAGTCACAAGGTTCATGACGGGAAGACCAAAAGAGAGAACCAGGTCCAGGGTGTGACCCCTGGCATGAGTTGGGGATGATACCCATTGAGTTAGATTGAATGACTCTAGCAAATTAAAAAAACCTTTAGCAAGCACATTGTCAGGACAGCAGATATGGATGTTAAAATCACCAAAAAATAGGACATAATCATATTTTAGGATGCAGTCTGCCACAAGATCACATAAATCATTAAGGAAGTTAGAGTCAGTCTTTGGAGGGCGATAAATCAGCACAACGAGCAGGCGGGGGGAGATGCACAGTTCAAATAAGCACAGTTCAAAGGAAGAAAATGACATGGTGGGTGTAAGCTGTTTACAAGGAAAGCTGGATTTGAAAACAACAACCAGCCCTCCACCTCTGCCCCGTGATCTGGGTATATTAAAACAGGAGCAGCCAGGTGGTACCAGCTCCAGCAGGGCGCTTGAGTCACCAAACGGGATCCAGGACTCAAAGATGCACAGAAAACCCAAGTCATGCTGAATAAAAAAGTCACAAAGAATAAAAGTTTTGTTCAGCACAGACCTGGCATTGGCCAGACCAAACTGGGTCTGCGGCGGAGCTGCAGCACCGAGATCGCGCACGGGCCCAGTCCCCTCTAACTCTGTGCCCGTAACCGAGCGCAGATTCTCCCAGCAAACCCCAGTCTGGCGAGGTCTTCGAGCCGATCGGCCGTGGAGCGGTGCCGGTTCACCCTCAGAGCCGGCCAAGTTCCCTGGGCAGGGCGCCGAGTAATCCAGGAGACATCTCGGAACCACCGGGTCAGAAGCTGGGCCGAATCGGACCAGCCGCTTGTTCAGGGATCCAGCCCGACGTCTCACGCGCCGGCTACCTCGCTTTCCCCGTCTTCTCCGATGCTTCCTTCTCGAGCTGGGGCGGACAGAGGTCTGACACATCACGGCTTGGGGGGAGAGAGCACGCGGGCAATTCAACCAGCAGCACCATCCGTGAGGTTCCCAGCGCGCGCAGCCCGCTACATCAACGGAAGGACGAAGCCTCAGCAGCGCAGCTCGATCGTATGTCAGCAGCGGATCCACACCGTTCAAAAAAAGCATAAGAGACAACAAAAATGCATAAAAGCCAACAAAACGCCAATAAAAAACCAGTAAAAAGCAAGGTACAAGTGCATAAAGAGGACGAGCAGCTCGCAGCGTGCACCCGCGCGAGCGCCATCTTACTCTCCTATACCAAAATAAAAGTTGGCATAAAGTGTTATTTTAGGTTTTGTGCAAGTCCATGACTACAAATGCGCTTCACAAAAGGGACGTGATTGAACCAGACACAGGGAAAAACAGGGAAAATGGCTGTAAGTTCAGCAAACATCTAATCCTTCTTTCAGGAGCAAAGAACCATCAAACATCTGGCCATGTGGTGAGTAGCAGCTACGCTAGGGGAGAGGAGATTCAGTAGTGATGTCATTTATGCAATGTACCAACGCCTGATTTGTAGTCATGCTAATTATGAACTTTTACAAGCTGATAAATCTCAAAGTACGTGACAGACGTGGTCAAAACACCCATCATTAGTTTTCATTTAAATAGAAGTACAATACATGCGATCCAGGGTGTAAGGGAAAGCGGGTTAGAAAATAGCTCTTTTAGCACCGTTGTCTTGCATTCATGTTTTGTTCTAGGAACCCATGAGCCAACCGGAAAGGGAGGCTCCCTGTTTAAATACAAAGCATTTACCGTTACCCAGAGGGGATTTTGGTCATTTACAGTTATAGGGTAAAAATAATCCTAGTTAATACTTTGTCTTCTTTGTTGTGACTTGTCTGTGTTGTTTTTGTTGGCAGCCATCCCTTCCTGTTCTGTACACACTGTCCAGCCAAGCAACCCACGAAGCAGTCCACCTCTTATGCAGGATGCTGGTGTTTGATCCAGTGAGTCTACCCTCTGTTTCGTATCCTGTTGGCTAACAAAATCTAATTCAGAAAGACTTTAATAATCCCAGAGAGAAATTAGGTGGTGTAATCTTTGGAGAGTATTTAAAGATGCTGATGGCTGTGGGCAGGAGGTAGCAGGTCTGTACTACAACAGGTCTAAAGAAGACTTCCACTGAAGATGCTCTGTGTTTGCATGATGGTGTCAGAAGAGGATGCTCAGGGTTGTCCATCTTCTTTATTTTGGCTTTTTGAAGGCTCCTTGTTTGCACAATAATCTTCAGCTCTGTATCTTGATGTTGATATGATGTTTTGATCCAAGCAAAGATGTATTATTCTGCAGCATTTACCGTCTGAGTATTATTATCATCAGAGCACCCACACATCCACAAAGCTGGTGGTGGCCTGAGGGAACTGGCAACATTTAACACGGCTATCAGTGAGCCCCAGGGCAATTGTGACTCATCACCGCCAGCGTAGGAATGTGTGTGTGTGTGTATTCATGGGTGAATGTTGTGTTGTAAAGTGCTTTAGGGGGTTATAAGACTCTAGAAGGTGATACATAAATACCATTCACAAACCACTAACTCATGCATTCGGTCTCCAGTCAAAAAGGATTTCCGCTAAGGACGCCTTGGCTCATCCGTACCTGGACGAGGGTCGGCTGCGCTACCACACCTGCATGTGCAAGTGCTGCTACACCACGTCCTCCGGCCGGGTTTACACCAGCAACTTTGAGCCTGTCACAAATCCCAAGTTTGATGACGGCTTTGAGAAGAACCTGAGCTCTGTGAGACAGGTCAAAGGTGAGCTGCCCACCTGTCTGTTAACTTTGCCTCATGACGAGGAGTTTTGAAGTGAAACATGCTGGCTCCATGTTTCCCTCTCAGAGATTATCCATCAGTTCATCCTGGAGCAACAGAAGGGGAGCAGAGTGCCGCTCTGCATCAACCCCCAGTCAGCTGCTTTCAAAAGCTTCATCAGGTACCAGGATTCCCCTCTGACATAAACAGAATGACATGGTTATGATGCAGATTTACTATTTGGGGGCCTCTAATGTGGGTTCCTGTCATGAAGAGCAGAGTTGAGGGTGTGTCAAAGTCCTGATTTAACACCATCCTGTACTTCTCTGAGACTAAAGGAGAGCAGGGTGACATCTGTGGGTGTTTAACATTAGGGCTCCGTTCTTTATTCCTTCAGAAACCATCTGCAAGTGAATCAAGAACAATGATGTTGTTTTGAAGGCTAGATGTTGCATGTAGGTGCACCATAGGTAGCTGCTGATATTAATCCCAGTGTTTGTTGGTTTGCTTTGAACAGCTCGACGGTGGCGCAGCCTTCTGAAATGCCTCCGTCTCCTCTGGTGTGGGAGTAGCTGCTGCTGCTGCTGAACTTCATTCCTACGGACGCTGAAGCTGCTCCACCGGGAACAAGAACATGTCTTCACTTTGTCAGCTTCGTAGCATTTCACTGGAGAGAGAGGCTCAGGTCTGATGGGTGGAAGTTGGAGAAGAGTTTAGCAGACAGACCAATCGGATCACTTCCTGGTTAAAGATACAACTTTTAAACGAAAACTCCTTTTATATATATATATGAAAATGTCGGGCCAAACGTTTAGTACCTGGCCTTCAGTGCGGGTTTACTGTGATCCGTATCTCACTAACCGTGCTGCAGTAAATAAACAGATTAAAGCTGTTGGAAGACTTCCTACTGAAGGTTTACTCCTGATATTTTAACCGATATTCATCGTTGTACAGCAGCAAGGTGTTGATGTAGATCACAGAGAGAGGGAGCAAGATGGCACTAGTTCAGAGGTTACACTTTTTATTCATCAGTTAGTTTATTTATTATGAGGAGCATTTTACTTGTTGAGTTATTAAAACGAGAAACCCAGTTAGGACTCTAAACGTCTACACTAAACGACACTCCAGCACGTAAATCAGAAGTTCACGATCAGTGTTTAAATGTTTTATTCATAGTTCAATAAGCTGGGTTATTTATCCGTCCTCCTCTCTGCAGCAACACGACTCCTGAGCTGATCTCCTTCAGAAAGCTAGCTGTTCTCTAAACGATGTCCCACTTTCTCCAAAAGTCTACCTTGAAAATGGATTTGTAGTTTTATCTGAGACCAAATCCATTTCTCCTTCTCCACCGTGGGCATACAATAAAAAATCATCCCCTCTGATACTTGAATTAGCCAAAGATCAGGATCATCACATTTTAAAACAGGATGTGTTTTAACCGATAAAAGAATATTTATTTGTTAGACGTTTGAAGTAGCTGCATTTTAAGGTAGTATGAATCAAATCAAAGATACTTTATTAATCCCAGAGGGAAATTAGAGACCCTGGTCGTCTTCCCCTGCTTCTGGGAAAAAAGGTGGAGTTGGTGTTCTCCATCCAGTTTGGACAGAAGATCTTTGACAATCCAGGGGATATTTAATCCTTTTTAAAATCCTTTTTCACTCTAAATTAGCTTGTGATTGATGGAACGATGCTTTAAACCCCAATAGCCTGGTTCTGTACACCAGAGTAAATACTGGGTTTCTTATTTAAATTACCTGTAATAATCGGGTTTTAATTCTGACAAATGTTTAGAAATCAGACTCCAAAAAAATAAAGGCATTTTTAAAAGATGACATGACTGAATAAAATGTAGAGGAGCTCCAATCCTCTGAGTCTCAGCAGCGATCACGTTGGTGGGACAGAAGAAAACTACTGAAACAGATTTCTAGAGACAAACTCAAAGCTTATTTGGAGTTAAATCTGTTAGATTCTCCATGTTCTGTCTCAGATGAAGTTCTTCGTTTTATCTCCAGAAGTGACGATTGTGTAGTTTGTTGAAATAAAAGTTGGTTGGTGGCCATTTTTAATGACTGAAACCAAAACAAAAAGTTTCATCCAAACTGGGAAGAATAACAAAAAAGTGAGTTTGAGTGGAGCAGATTTCATCAGGAGGCTCCTTCCTGCTGTTTCTCCACAGTTAAAGACAAAATAATCCCAAAGGGGTTCGTTCATTTAGTCTTTCTCCACACCACCATGTCAACCAGTGAAGGGAACCGGTAGCTGACATGAAACCAGTCTGGTTTCACCAGTCTAGATCTGTACTCCTCAGTCCAATCTCCAGAAAAAAAAATAATTTAACATATATTTTTACAATCATTTCCATTTCTGCTCTGGTTTTCTTTGGATGCGTTCATCTACAAGTATTATGATGTTAATATGGTAAATAGAGAAGCAAATCTGCACATTAACATAAAAAACAATGCTACTGTATAGAGATTTTATTAGCCTGCACATTTCAGAGGCTGTAAAGTTCCTTTTATTTTTAAGTTGCTTATAAATGTTCATATTTAGATTTTTTTTCTTGCTACCCTTATTCTGGGTGTGTAGAGGACAAATCTTGTCTGGATTTACAGTTGGATTAGCGGTAATGTGTGTACAGCAGAGATGTAAATGAATCCAAGGTTTTATTGTGATTTGTTTCTCTCACTGTGTGAATATGTACATAAAAGATTCTCTGTTTGGTCTCTACCTCTTGACCTGTGTAAGCTGGCATTGTTTACCCTCAGTCATTTCTAAAATCACAGGAGATTATTTTACCTAAGAAGTCCTTTTTTACTGAGGAGGTGCTGCCCTCTGACATTGTTTATACTGCAGAAACATTCAAATGAACCCGTTTGTATGACACAACCCTGCTAATCATGAAAAGGTTTCCTGACTGTTGGTCACTGTTCATCTCTGAAACAATTTGATCTCATTAGGGGGAAAAGAAGCCATTCATGCAGCTGAAGGCGCACAATCTTTTCTGTTTTAGAGGGTCGTCATAAAATATTTGGTGAAATTTGTAAAACTAATATTTCTATCTACAGCACACTGATGTTTGTATTAGGTTACAATGAAGAGGCAAAGTTCAGGTGTAAACCATTCAAATGTTCTGTTTTCATTAACTAACCTTTTTTATATTAAGTTTGCTGTTTCTCATTCACAAAGTCACAAATAGTGTTCTTCCATTCAGAAACAAATAAATGACTGAATTTAAATGAAAGCTGTTTTCCTGGAAAGGCCTTTTAATTTGAACACTCCTGGACTTCTACCCTGTTGCTGGCTTCTCCAGAGAAAAGAACATGTTGAGTTCAGCTACATCTGGTTTTAATTAGGCCCGAGCAGCGAAAGCCTCTTGTTTCAGCTCTGTTTATTATAATTTTTTTCTTTTCTTCCGCACCTTCAAATGGCTTATTGGGAGTCTTACCATATTCAAAAACTCACCCAATTCTGGCCCAATATAGAAAGTGCGTGAAATTTACGTATTTCAATGGCGATGTGAAGGTTGCTAAAAAAAAGTAGCTCGACTGCGCCCCCTGGAAATTTAAAAATACCCCTCTGCTTTGACCTTTATTTATAGTAGACTGCAGAGGTGGAAAGTAACGAATTACATTTACTCACTATAATGTAATTGAGTAGCTTTTTTGTATATTTATACTTTTTAAGTAGTTTTTAAAAGCTGTAGTTTTACTTTTACTCGAGTATGTTTTTGAAAAAGAACTGTAATTCGCTACATTTTAAATCATATCCGTTACTGAGTAAAAGTACATTATAGGCTTAATTCAGTAAAAATATTACGTGTAGCAGCGTCAGAACAGAAAGAGATGCCTGCATGAGCGCCGCGTCTGAACCGTGGGGGGTGGGGGGGTGTACACTTCTGCTCCAAAACATCAGTTCAGTCCCTGTGATCCACTCGCTGTTTACCTCCTCTCTCCCTCCTCTCCTGTGGGTTGGAACCCGCACCTTCGCGCACCGATGTGACGTCATCACAATTCCACTCGGTTCGGTAGCCGGACTCGGTTCCGTGTTTGAAATGTGCTTCCCTACCGCTCCGCACGGCAGTGGCAAAATAACGTTTAGCGCTCATAACAAGCGGATTATCAGCGCTTTGCTCATAAAACAGAAGACCTGCAGGCCTCTGTGAGTTAAAACATCCTGATACTGTTCAGGTGTAAACATTGTGCTCCATCCCTGTGTTTGAACTCAGAAGTTGCTTCTTGATGCCACAGATATGTGATGATTTAGCTTGTTTCTTTATTTTACTCCAGAATAAGAGATTAAATTATTACAAAAGAAAAAGAAGAAAATATCATTTCTATAGCGCCTCTCAAGATAAAAATCACGAGGCACTTCACAAAAGCAAAAAATGTAAAAATATAAAAAAAACATTTGGAAAATGTTTAAAAATATATTTAAAATGAGCAAAAAATAGGCAATTGTGATTAAAAAAATTTCAAGAAAGAGAGAGCGTGAGTAGGAAAGAGGGAAATCAGTGGATCCTGAGGAAGGTGGAATAGGTGGGGAGAGCAGAATAAAGAGAGAGGCGAAGGTCATACAAAAGCCAGCTTGAACAAGTGAGTCTTCAGCTGCTTTTTAAAGGAGACCACTGAGTCCACTGATCTCAGGCTCAGGGGGAGAGAGTTCCAGAGTCTGGGGGCCACAGCAGCAAATGATCTGTCACCTTTGACCTTTAGCCTGGTGCTGCACAACCAGTAGGCTTTGGTCACTGGACCTCAGGGACCTGCTGGGGGTGTAGGGACTAAGAAGATCACCAATGTAAGATGGTGCTTGTCCATGTAAGGCCCTATAGACCAGAACCAGGATCTTGAAATGAACCCTGAAGTTGACAAAAAAGCAGTTCAGTGTAGTTAAATTAGTCATGGCGTGTCTGTGTGCGCGCGCGTGCACACATGAACGTGTTGTGAACTGGTGTTGTGGTTTTGCACTGATGTAGCCATCTTTATGCTGACAAAAATGTAACTAAGTAACTTTTACTTTGAGTACATTTTATTTACAATACTTTTTACTTTTACTTGAGTAAAGATTTAGGCAAGTACTTTTACTTGTACTTGAGTAAAAAATTTTCAAAGTATTGGTACTCGTAATTAAGTAGGAAATTTTAGTACTCTTTCCACCTCTGGTAGACTGATAAAATTTGGTAGACTTGTAGCAAATATGCACACAAAAGCCTCTTGCACCCATGGTCAACATCAAACAGGAAGTCAGCCATTTTGGACTGAAGTAGTTCAAACCCTAAAGGTTGGTTTATGCTTGACGTGTCCGTGAGGTCCACGCGGAGAAATTGCGGCATTTTAACAACCACGCCCCTCCACCGCGTCTCCGTGCGGCCCAAAATTTCCGCAACGCGCACCTAGGAAAATTTCTAACCACGTAAACGGTCGGATGCGGAAAAACATGGCGGACTGGCAAGAACTAGTATGGTAGAGGTTCGTAAATACTATGATGGACGGGAGATGTATGATTCAGCTCTCAACGATCACCGTGATCAACATGTTGTTAAAAATTCTTGGAGGGAAATAGCTCGCACTGTCAGAAAAGATGAGGACGCTGTTAAAAAATGCTGGAATGCCATGTTGTAAACAGTCATTTTTACTTCTTCTATGGTGTAGTGTTGGATGCATGCCATAGAGCTCCATGCTTTCCCATTCAGTTTGGGAGAATATTCACTGTTAGACGCGGCTGTAATTTCTACAGTAATTTACCACATATCTTACAGTACTAAACTGTAAAACAATTTCTACAGTTAGTAACTGTAATTTGCATTGCACCATGGGAGTTTGAAGTCACGTGGTAATTAGTTTACAGTTTGCTACTGTAGTTTATGAAAATACAGTAGGGTACTATAAACTGAAAGTTACTTCAATATTTTTACTGTAATTTATCAATACGAAGCTGTAAAGTTATTTACGTCACCTGACAAGGAACGATTGCATCAGCCGAGTTACCAGATTTACAATTTAGTACTGTAAAATTACAGTTATTATAAAATTACAGTAAGTAGCTGTTATTAACGGTCATTTTTGCATTTAATAATTTAGTTTGTTAAATCCTTCAAGACGGAGAACCGCCATTTTGTCGTAAAGAGCAGTCATTGTAACCACAGTTCACCGGCACACGAGCAAGTGTGGGACATACACGGGAAAGACTACACCTGCAGCGCTTATAATTTCTCCAGCGAAAAGACCAAGTTCCACCAAGTACCGACTATCCAAGGTAAACTTTTCATTTAAGCATTTCAATGTGCTATCTTTTTAGTGGAGTTTTGCTGCGGGTCAGTGTGTTAGCTTTTATTATTTCAGAGCTTTATTTCAAAGAGAACGGGACTTTGCGGATTTTTCTCATCGCTTTTTTTCTTAGTTTTTTCTTCACACGAAAGTAAAAGCTGACATTGTCTAAAACAATTTGGGGTCTTAACGTTTGACTCTGTGTAGCGTAGAAACAATTCGAAAAAATAAAGAAATAACTCGGATGAGCTTGGGCACAACGCCACACTAACCGGAGTTTTTTTTTCCTTCACATAACCGAAGTCTTATCTGTATTTTTAGTAATTGTTTGAGGACTTCATCTATGTTTAGGTGTAAAGTTTGTAGCCATGGCAGTGAAAGTTACAAAAGCTTTTTTGTTCATGCAAAAAGTCACAGAAATCTGGCTAACCACCGGTTTTCATGTGGCATAGAAACATGTTCTGCCGTTTTTAGAACATTTTCTGCATTAAAGTCACACACACACAGGAATCATACACCTACAGAGTCACAAAAAATCCAGAATTATCAGCCAGGTGGCATTCATGAATGTAGTGTTCAAGGATGTGATTTTGCAGCAGATAATATTTCCTTGCTGTGCATTCATTTAAGAGTACACATACGTAATGGCAAAAAAATCACTTGTCCATTTGAGGGTTGCTCAAAATATTTCAGAGTGAGGTCATCTTTTGCCACACACATCTCAAGAAAACACAGGCAACAATTTGTTCCAAAGCCAGAAGAACCAAAGAATGCAGATGTACAAACCTACGATGTTACAGGTGAACACACCCAGGTCCATCATGATGATATTTTGTCTCCTCTTGAAAGTCATGAAAACAACTCAGAGTCTAACCCTGACACATTTCTAAAGAACTTAGCACTATTTTACTTAAAACTACAAGCCAAACTTCTTTTACCAGCAACAACAGTACAGTGCATAGTTCAGGAATTTCAACAAATCCACTCCACCGGAATGAGCCACGTAATTAAAAAAGTGGAGGAGAAGCTGGAACAGAATAACTTAAACGAAACTGAAATACAGAATATTGTTAAAGAACTTGAACAAGAGGATCTATTGACAATTTACAATGATGGTATCTTGAGATCAGACAGAACTAGGAAAACATTTTTCAAAGAAAAGTTTGACTATGTTGCTCCAACCCAGTTATACTTGGGAACAGATTCTGGTGGAAAAGAACGTTTTTGCCAGTATGTACCAGTAAAAGAGACACTTGCTGCCTTGTTTAGGCAATCAACAGTAAAGGAGCAGTTTGCTCAATCTAACCAATTGGTACATGATGAAATGGTTTTAAATGATGTAAGTGATGGCCAAAACTTCAAACAAAATAGCATTTTACAAGGATTGTCACCATCTGTTTCAGTCATTCTGTACATGGATGCATTTGAAGTGACTAATCCCTTAGGTTCTGGCAAAAAAAAAACACAAAATCATGGCCATGTACAAGACACTAGGAGAAATACTACCACATAATCGATCCACCGTTGACCCTGCACAGCTCGTCTTACTTTGCAGAGAACAGGATTTTAAGGCTTTTGGACAAGAAAAAATATTTTCCCACCTCATAACAGACCTAAAAGACTTGGAGCTTTCAGGTTTTCAGGTGGAAGATGGAGCCAACGTCAAGGCGTCATTGATTGCCATATGTGGTGATAATCTTGGTTCCCACTCTATTGGTGGATTCACTGAAAATTTTAGCAGTAGCACACACTTTTGTAGGTACTGCATGATTGACAGAGAAACATTTGTAAAATCACCACTTCTGTTTGGCCCACAAAGAACACCTGCAAACTACAATGATAGTGTTCGACAACTGAATTATGACAAACAAATAGTTAATGGAATCAAATTTGATTCCAGTTTCAACTCGCTAGCAACATTTCATGTCTGCTTGGGTCTTCCTCCATGTGTTGGGCATGACCTTTTTGAGGGAATAGTGGCAGATGATTTAGCTCTTTATATTAAGCATCTGATAAAATTTGAAAAACATTTCACTTATGACCAGATAAATCAGGCAATCGCACAGACAAAACTTTTTGGCAGTGACTCGCACAACAAACCATGTGAGATTAAGGAAAATGCTAAAAGGCTTAGTGGTTCAGCAGCACAGAACTGGTGTTTCTTACGGCTGTTACCAGTTTATGTGGGTAAGTCGATAAAAAATCCCCTTGGAAGTGAGGTTTGGCAATTGTGTCTGAAACTAAGGAGAATAGTTGAGTTTATCTGTGCTCCAAAAGTTCATCAGAACGAGATTGCATATCTAAAAGTTTTGCTAGAAGAATATATCTACTTACGTAGCACCATGTTTCCCGATCAGTCTCTCAAACCAAAGCATCATTATGTGTTGCATTATCCAAGTCTCATTCTCAAGTTTGGACCCTTGATACGGTTGTGGACACTGAGGTTTGAGAGTAAACACTCCTACTTCAAAGAGTGTGCCAGAAAAATGCACAACTTTTTACACTTAAGTAAAACACTAGCAGAGAGACATCAGCTCCTACAGTCTTATTTAGGTTGTGGTCAGTTATTCCCACCTCTCATTCAGATTGCCGGTGAGGCAAACGGCATTGATGAACACTCATACAACAAAGACATACAGATGATTTTAAAGGCAGCTGATATTGATAAAGGAAAAACCTCTGATGTTTCAGCTGTGTTTTATAAAGGAACCAAATATACCAAAGGTCTTGTTGTTCCTCTTGATCACACAGGTGACACTCTAGTCTTTGGAAAAATATCCTTGATACTGACTGATGATAAACAGGTCCACTTTGTTGTTTTGGTACATCACTCAGTGCTATTAATAGATCTTGGAGTTTATCATTTATGTAACCCAGACCATAAATATGCATATGTTAATGCAGATAGGCTACAAGACTTTTATCCAATGCCAGTTTATCATATCTTGAACCTCCCTGTTGTTTCCTTGCATCACTCAGTGTGTTCTTTTCCCTAGATATGGAGGTCGAGTGCATTGATGAAATTCAGGGAGTGCTGCTTGAATTGGACCATGAAAGACTACTGGCCATTACTGAACACCTCTCATCTGTGGTTGGAGTCACAAAGAAAGAGGATCTTGCCTTTCTTGAGAAGGCTGACTTTCAGGAATATTTGACACCAATCCAGTGCCGTAAATTACTTCAGGCCTTCAAACAAAGAGGTAAAAAAAAACATGTTCACCAAATCTTAACACAACATATTCATTTATTCTAAGATTAGTAGTCTCTATCATTTTAAACTACTGTCCTTGGTTACTCTACAATGATGATAGTTTTATAAGTTGTATGAGCACTCTGAAATTGTTCGTGAAATCCTAACAATGCCATAAACACAGTGACAGTATTTAAGTTATGTAAGGTTGTATGTAAAGTGTTAATACTGTAAATAATTTAGATGTGCAAAAAAAAACTTTTATTATGTTTATTATCTTCAAAGAACTGAAAGACAAAGTGGACACTGAAGTCAGCTCTGTGCCAAGTGGAAACGTGATTCCTACCTCATCTTTGGATACACAGAGAGAAAATGGACAGTCATGTTTCACACCTCTTCAGACACAATCATATAATCCTGGATCCACTCTTTTAAAAACACAAAATTCTTGGATCAGCCAGTTCCAAATTCCGTGGGAAAAGATGCCTGCTTCATTGTCCCAGACAATGTTAAGAGGCCAAAGGGCCAGCCCAGCAGACAGGAGAGCAATGGTGCGGACTGTAGTGTCCACTATGCAGCAGCATTGTTCAAACCCCAACAGAGCTGCCTGCACTGAAATAGCAAAAACTATTGTTGCCAAATATCCTTTGACTTTTGCAGACATGAATGAAGAAGGTGAACAGATTGGAATAGGGTACTATTCTCTCATTAACCAGCTGAAGACAAGAGTTGAACATGTCAACCGGAACAATACGAGTGACAGAATACGAAGACCAAGGACAACACAGTCCAGCAATGCTGACGCTACAATCAAAACGTCTCGATGCAAACTGGACAGCTATGGCTGCGTGAACTGGCAACCAAGATGTCTCCCGGATGGAGAGACGGCAGATTCTTTGGAGGAGAGAAGAAAACAAATGGCTGCCACATTTCAGTCTGTTGGCCCTAGAGCTGCTGACTCACCAGATATAGACTTTTCAATGGATTTGACTTACATCTATCAACGCCACATGATTAATGCTTGCCCTCCTCCAAGTGTCTGTGAGATTGAAGAGCAATGGCCATTTCTCTTTACAAAAAGAGGACTCTGCAACCACTTCAAAATCCTCACAGGGATTGACATTTGTGATCGCCTTGGAGAGGCTCTTCAGACCAAGGGGAAGAAAATCGTGCATTTTTTCCGGAGCCACAGTCACAATAAAGATACTCAGCACATTCTTCAGGATTTGGACAGAAACACAACAATGCAGCGAAGCTGTCATGGTATAGCAGCGATGCTACTTCTGATGAAATGCTTTGGCGAAAAGGAGGAGTCCATCTTCATTTTGGTTGATGTAAGTTGGCAAATAGTCAAAGGAACAATGTGACGCATGTTTGCTGTGTGTAATTATCATGTTTTATGTTTAACATGTTAGACAACTTCAACAAAGGCGTCCATCGAGAGGGAGAGGGCATTACCTCCATCACCGAGACTGCTAATGCTTGGTAAGGGAAGATATAAAAATTAGAGGTCGAACAATATTGGTTTTTCTATTGCCAATACCAATGCCAACATGTAGGAGACACGGTCAACCGATGGCCAATTTGTACTGCCAATTTTTTTGGACCAATTTTCATGGCCGATATTCAGACATGTTCCACTTTATTTTCATGCTAAAATGTCACTAATAACAGCAGTTGATGCCCAGATATTCTGAAGCTGAATCAGTTTTTGAACTCTGAATGTAAAGGTTGAATATGTAACATTTTAATAAAAAGTTATATTTAAAAAAATTTTATATATATATAGATACCACGGGGTGTTTAGAGGTTTGCAGAATGAATGTACAGTTTCTTTCCTTTGGAAGCTATATTTACAAAAATAATAACCAAAATTTTATTTTGATGGGCACGACACATCTACCAGCTGCTAGAGGGCTCCGTTGCTGTAAAATATTTTGTTTTAAAATGTTCGTTCGGCACAGCGAGGCTATGTTAAATGGTGAACTCGACAAGTCAAGCAGCTGATTCTTAGCCCAGAATCAGCTAGAAAATTTGTTCTATTGTTGCGATACCACTTGTAAACACTAGATGTTCCATATTCAACCTTTCAATAACTGTTAAATCACAACTTTGTGCACTGCTTAAGCCTGGTTTATGCTTCTCCGTCAGCTCCGCAAGGGACAGACACGCACGGATTGACGGAAGCGTTTTGCTCTCATACTTCTCCGTCTCCTGGAGAGTGTTGCAAAGCAATTCTCCGCCAGGACAACAGAGGGCGTAGCGCTGTTCTGTGGTATCCTGTCATGTATCGGTCCAAGATAGTGTGTTTATATTGTGTTTTTTGTGTATATAAGAGACTTTTAACACGGACATATTTGTCTCTCATTCTCCCACCTCTTCATGCGCTCGCCACCTCTAAACCCACGCTTCCTGTCATTTCCGTCCACAAATAAAACGCTGGCTGCGCATCTTTTCACTCCTCCAGTCACGGGAGAATTAAACGTTCATGTTTTTAGAGTTTTTTCGCGAGGTATTCTTCAAGCTTCTCCGTGTCTGCCACTAGTTATCCTCGGCTCTCTTTGCAATGGCAGCGCTGTAAACAACAGCGGCGTCCTGACCAATCACAAGCTTGCGTAATCCGTTTCGTTCGACGGATGTTTAAAAAAGTGGGCTCGACTCCGTACGTACTTGCGTGCCTGCCGGATCCCTACGCAAGGACGGATAATGGCGTTGCGTGTCTCCGCACTGATGCAGACGGAGAAGCATAAATCAGGCTTTAGTGTTAAAGTCCAGCCAGACAGGAAGGAGCTGGCAGTGTTAAAAAAATTGTAATGTTTCATGATATTTAAATTCTTTTCAAACTATGATTATGGTTAGTGGAAGTGCACAAATATAGGCTATATATATCTAAATCTCACATACTTTACATCATTTTAACATATAAAAACAACAATAAATTCTGCAGGTCAGGCATCTTATTTTGCATTTAGCGAAACACTGTTGTTGCAAAGATTGGTATGTTCGATTTTGAAGTGTATATGTTTTGTCTCATAGGAACCACATACCTTGAGGCAACCAAGTGGATGGTGAGCATCGAGGGAAAGGTGGCCTACATTTTAGATGAGGACCTGGGTTTTGCAGATGCACTTTCTGTGTTGATGGCAAGCTTCTATGCTTTCAATGTGGAATACCAGGAGCCGGCATGTGCAACACTGGAGTTCATTCAACGGTAGGAATCTTTTTATTTTTTATTTTAAAGGCACTGAGAAATCACAAAAACCAGTAATATATCATACATGCATATTGAGTGTGTGTGTGTGTGTGGGGGGGGGGGGGGGGGGGGGTCTTCAGTCAGGTCTAAGTCGCTCTTTCTAAGAATAAATTTTCAGAGAAAGGAGGTGAATTAATCTTGTTCATTAACTATCTTTGTTGTAGCTTGTTACATCATCATTTGGATCACAGTCATGGAGACAGCATGCCCAAAAACTGTCAGGATGCTGCAGAACGCTGCTCACAGCACGTATAGCTGTTGTTTCAAGGTTGCAACTTAATGTTTGTCAAATCAAGCAAAATCACCACTGACCATGCTGAAAAAAACAGCATAAACCAGCATTGCTGGTTACCAGTATATGTTGCATGGTATGCTTGTCATGGAATGATAGACCAGCATCCCATCCTGGACCAGCATGCTAGACTAGCATATAATACTGGTTCACCAGCTAAACCAGCACCAAAACAACATATGCTGGGAACATCTATGCTGGTCTGATTTTAGTTCTCAGATTTTTTACATCTTCTGAGTTCGCAGGGATGTAATATATTGTAATCCTTTAGCAAATTAACAGAAATAGTGGAATCATACCCCGATTTTGTTAAATCACTCTTCCAGACTGCATTTATCTTAACTAAAATTGCACTTAATATTTTTGTTGTTGTTTTTCTTTCTCATCTTTATGCAGATTCTTCTTAAGAATCAATCCTGAAGATGGGAGCAAATGCACAGCACGGACTGGAGTTAGTCGCAAGACCGGACAGTTGGTCAAAAGAAAATCAGCCACCATGAACCCCAGAGTGCTGTCCTTCCTTCGCCAGCTAACAGAGTTTGAGTGGAAGAACATGGAATAGGTGAGATACGTATTTTTAGGGTATGCTGATATACATAAACAGTGTTGGGCAAGTTACTTCAAAACTGTAATGCATTATTTATTATTGTTACCCTCATTTTAAAGTAATTCATTACATTACAATATCACTGATTTTAAAATGTAAGGCATTACACTACTTTTGCATTACTTTGAACCGTTTCAGTTCGGTCCACTAGCGTATCGTTTTGGTCAATTTTTTCTGCTAAAATATTTTGTTTTTATTTGCGTTATTTGCAGCGGATAAAAGTTCCTCAGTGAGTTTCTGCACAGACGCTGGATTGAGTGATGCATCAGGGTTTCCGCTATGTGTATTTTGTCTTGGCGCGCCGCCATGCCGTCAGAAGGATAAAAAAGAAATTAAAACAATGTACCATCAGAATACATTTTTTGGATATACATTAAAACAATGTAAATACGAGACATATACAGTCTATATTTGTGCATGTATACTAACTATAATCAGCTGTAAATCATTATCAATTTGTTCAATCAATTTCCCTCTGGGATTAATCAATTTCCCTCTGGGATTAATAAAGTATTTTTGAATTGAATTGAATCATCACTAATATAACAAATAAAGGCTGAAATATTTGGAATAAGTCTGTCTCATATATTAGTTTCCCCTTTAAATTGAAGAGTTTACACCAAATTCAAGTTTCTTTTCAAGTTTCACCTGTACATTCCTTGTCCTTTTTAGGACCACTGGGGCATCAGACGAGGGGACAACATTCTGGCCAGGTTCTTCACCCATCAGAATCAGTAAAAAAAACAAGCATTATTTCATTCTGTTCTTGAAAACTACAGTTTTGCAGGTTTTGTATGTTTCCTGATGCAGCATATGCTCATAGATTGCACGATCCATTGCACTGTTATTACTTAGTTTATTAATTCATTTATTAATTTGTTATTGTAATATTTTTCAATGCAGATTTCTAACAGCAAATGTTGCACTGTTACATTGTAAACAAATGTTTTTGTATTGTGAAAAGCAATGTATTCTACTCTTTCAATTGCTGATCCATTGAAATTTTTTCTGTTAAATCAGTGAGGAAAAACATTTTGTAAACAACCCAATTGCTCCCCTGCTCTGGTAGGATTTTGTTTGCTTTAGCTTACCATAAACAATGTAAGTGAATGTTAATGGCTAGCATTTAGCGTAATAAATATTAACAGCAAATTAAAATAATAACACAAAGGAATAATAGGAGCCTGTTTAGACCTCGTGCTACATCACAACACAGCATCGCTGTAAGTCGATGTTAAAAGGCACAGTAACATGTTGCAGTGACCATAAAGCTCCCAGTTTGCTGTCTTAAAGTTTACTCTTATAACATTAACAACATTTCACCCTGTGAATTATGAGAACAATGAGTTTTGGGCTGCAGTGTCATTATCTTATGCCTTTCTGCGCTAGCCGACAGCACAGCTATAACTAGACTCCTGTAATCCCTTTGTGTTCTTTATTAATGTCAGTTGAAGTCATTATGATTATTGAGGTCTCCAAGAAAAATTAGGATTATTATCGAGTAATATTCATGACTTTTTTCACAGTAAATGCTAGCTGTTAACATTCACTTACATTGTGTATGCTAAGCTAAAGCTAACACTGCCAGAAATGGATGACTGAGCTGGTTACAAAAGATTTTCCCCTACTGATCTAACTCTGGGGAATACAACAAAAGACTACAGTTCATTTATGGGTGGAATATCCCTTCAAAGAAACTTTGTTCGTGTACTGAACAATTTCTCGTGTTAGTTACTGTTTACAAACTATAAACTAATCAATACACTATATGTCTTATAATAGTAATACTTCAAAGTTAATGAGTAAAAGTTAGTTTGCCTGTTTCTGATGTTCTATAAGCTGTAAAATGTTTTATTTTTTCCAGTAATGATTTGAGGTGAATTTCTAATATTTTGAATGAGATTTTTTTCTACATAAGATAACCTCTAATGTTTTTTACGTTTGAGGTGTTCGAAATAAAGAATCCTATGTTTTGTAAGAGAAGTTTGTTTTGATTTAATATAGTTGTTTAAGTCAATTTAGGAAAACTTTAAGATCATTCATTAAACTTTAAAATTATTTTATTACAATTTTAATTATTATTAAACAGTCTACAAGTATGAACAAAAAATGGTACAACACTGTACTGTAAGAAACATTTTTTTACAGTAGTGGTCCTATACCTCATTTTAATTTATACAGTACCATAACTGTTATTTTACGGTTCTATTACTGTTATTTTACAGTATGGTCTCAGTTACTGTAAAACTAAAATACAGTACCAGTATTGGTACTGTATTTTAGTTTTACAGTAACTGAGACCATACTGTAAAATAACAGTAATAGAACCGTAAAATACAAATGCAGTACCACTACTGTAATTTCAATTTACAGTACCTTACTGGCAACACTGTTTCCAGTAAGATACTGTAAATGGAAATTACAGTACCTTACTGGCAACAGTGTTGCCAGTAAGGTACTGTAAAAAACCCAATGAAATGTCTAACAGTGTTGGCTCACTGCAGAGACGAGCCGCACGAACCATAAACGCTGCGAGTTGTGAAGCGTGTTCCAACCACGAGCCGCATCACCAAGCGGAAAGTGAATGCGTCAAGCATAAACCAAGCTTAACCCTCCCTAACACTTACACTTACCCTAACACTTACACTTTCCCTAACACTTACACTTATCCTAACACTAAAGCCTGATTCATGCTTAAGCAAAGGCACATTTGCGCCCCCCACGCTGCTGCAGCGTCAAATCTCCTCTGTATTCATACCAAGCCCCCACAAAGCGGCTCTAAAATTGGTCGCAACCCGGAAGTACCAGAAATTGCAGTTCCACCCTCATCCGCTGGGGGCTGGTGTCAAAAGCGAGCAAATCCTCATTGACTCCCATGTTAAAAATACCAATTTCACAGCAGAAATAAACATGTTTACAGCCTGGTACCAAAACATGTTTTTTGTCTAAATGATCTAGTTTACACTCATGACAACTCTGAGGGGGGGGGGGGGGGGGTGAATTTTTTTCTCACTCTTCTGTTTAAGTGTATTGAAAGCCTAAAATTCTGTATAATTAATGAGCATCAGACCCACGTGACCACAGAGCTAGCTCCATGGAAAGGCCTCAGTAGAGCCTCGGTCTGGCCTGGAAACTGTTCCGGGATTTTGAGTCTCTGTGCTTGTGTATTCTGTTTTGGATATTATTTGTGCAATTGTTGGACAAAATGACTTGCTGTGGCATTAATTGCACTAATAGAGCGTCCAAGGAGTCTCCACTTCATTTTTTTCGGTAAGTTAAATTAAATGTATGTATTTTAGGTCACTGCCGCCTTTAAACTAGCTGAGTTTATCGAAGTAGCTAGCTAACTATCATTTTAACATGTAGCATGTACTGTTTAACCATGAAATTTAGATGTAAAATACGGTAAAATAATTAATAGGGCATATGTTGATGGGTACAAGGGTAAAACCCAGTGCATTTAACATAAAAATGGGTTGAAATATGACGGAGCGCTTGGAGGGACACTTCTGTGTTCCATTCTTCCATCCGGTTCTCCCCAGCGGTCAGGCCGGTGCATGTCTGACCGATGCAGCGCCTAGCTGCTGCGCGGGCTGACCGCTCGTGGAGCTGTCGGACTCGGAGACAGATCTGACCGGAGAAAAACTGCAGCTCGGTGAGTTGTTTGATAGTGCTTGATGTTGGTCTCCATAAGTCTATAGGGCATACAGGGTTTCCCTTAAATCCCACCGCCACGGCGACAAGATCCTGTTATTTTGTTTTTGTTGGCGCTGTTTCCCGAAGAAGCAGCAGGAACTACTATATTGTCGCTTGTGATCACAGCCGGCGGGTAGCAAGGAGGAGCAGCCAGGGCAAGGTGAAGTTACAGCATAATTTACTGAGTTTAAAATTAGAAAGGTAGCAGTGGATATAATGCCTTTTGGTTTACATTTTTCAGTAGCATTAAGATTAACGAGTGTTTTTCGATCTTGACAGGGTTTCCTCCAGTGCTTACTAGGCCAGGTTTTCCTCCCCCCACCAGGCTAATCATCACTTATTCATGTAAAATTTAGTTTCTCATGTCTGTTTTTAACCGCATCTAATACTGTATTACGATGTGAGCGCAACAGCGACAACTTAAGATCGATATGTGAGCAGCCTGAGAGGTCGGGTGTTTCATCTGAACCCTTAAAACCTCCAGCAGGCTACTCGGCTACACTGCACTATTGACGTGTTAGCGGTTAGCGCTCAGCGCTAACAACTTAGCGACATGACATGTCTCGGAGAAAGCGTAAAAACATGTTGGACGCTTCTGAAGCGGGAAAATAACACTTCTTCTTAAGCAGAGCACGACGTCGCCTCGGCTCGTTCACGACCGAGCCGGACTGAGCTCGATAACATTGACCCAGCACAGCCACTGGGTCGTTGGAACTGCCACCGGGCCTGCTGAAGGAACACCAGCAAGTTTCATCAGACTCGTAAAGTTTCTTGTTTTTGCTGGGGACCCGCTGTATTTTACCGCTCCCTCCTGCAGTCTTCCCCTATTAAAATCTAAAATGGTTCTGTAAATTCCATGTATCAATAGAAAAAATCTCTGCCTCTGCCAGCTGCAGTAACTGAACAACTGTTGTATTTGATTCAAATTTTAATGATTCTGTTTCAGGTGGAAATGCTGTGTGATTCCTGTGCCATGTGGCCCATGACCTGTGTGATCCCGGTTCTGGATGTGGCCTTGCTGAGTTCTCTGTAGCAAGGTTTTCTGGTGCTTGGGGACGCTCCAGAGTGCACCTGATCCTTGGAGGTCTAACACTTCACATTCCAGCACACGCACGAACACATGCTTGTTGATGTTTGTTGTTCATGTTTGTGGTTCATGGTTTACATGTTTATAGTTGTTCATCCCACGTTTTCTTGATGACTCTTAGAAATGTTTCTTCACAGGTGCAGCTGCTGGTTGCTGTTTTTATGTTGGTTTCCTAGTTGTATTAATTTTTCTCTTATTTACTTGTTTATCCTCTATCAGCAGTCTTTATTCCTGATTGGTTCAGCATTTACATGCTGATGTGGCGATACATAACCCAAACCAATATTACTCAAGGGGAACACATTAAGGCTCCTCTTGATAGAGCAAATCTGTTCAGCACATTCTGACAGACAGACCAACCTTTCTTCTGTCATGTTGCTGTTTAAGATTTTTAAACCATTTTTAGTTTGTCTTTTTAAAGATAAATAGTATTACATTTAAAGAGCAATACTTTCACATTATCATTTTCCCACACTTTCTGTATACCTGTATTTTGTTGTTTTTTAATAAAGAATGACAAATTATTTAAATTTGGTTTTTGTTGCACACAAATATATATCTGGAAAAATATCTACAAAGCTAATATTTACATAACAAGTATGATTGGGTTTTGCAATACGGCACTCTGTTTATTTTAGTAAGATTTTTAAACCAAGCAAAGTTAGTAAAGAACACATTTCTATTGTCTGCTAAGAAACTGTTGGGATTTAAAATGGGCCTGTTGTACAAATAACTTGTAAATGATTATTCCTCACTTTGTAGTCTTAGCCAAAGAAATTCCAGTAATTGAGCAAAAACATTAATTTTTCTACTACATTTTATAAAACAACAGGGCACAAAGTGTCGGCACATTAAAAAAAAAACTTAAAATAATAAAATAAAATGGGCCCAGAGAGCTCAAGAGTGAGTGCAACATTGCGGTTTGAAGGAAGAACAGTTCAACAGTGTAATGGCTACAGATAAATTACATCATCAACACATTAGCTAGAACAGTCAGGGATATGTTTATCCTGTTTGCCTGAATATAAATCTGTCATAAAGGCCAAATTCAAAAGCAGCGAGACTCCCACCTGGAAGTCTTTCACTGCTTTTGGAGCTGGCCATTAAGACAATCGGCAATATTATTTAAAAATATATCATTTCCCCTATTTGTGAAATGAACTCTGTCTGACAAAAATATCCCTGGACTGTCATGTCTGATGTGAGAATTGTCATGTCCCTGGGAAGATGTTTAACCCACGACATGAAGAATCATCACAAGACAAAGGAAGAAAGTTCAAACAATGATTTATTTAACCTAACTAAAAGTGTCCTGGAGATATCCAAGTTCAAAGTAGTTGGCAAGAGTCCAGAAGCCAGCAGGGAGGGCAGACGGTGTGACAGGGTGTCCAGGAGAGGGAGCCAGTTGATGGCGGCAGAGGACAAGTGGAGCAGGAGGTGAGGCGAACCTTGAGAGTTGTAATCCAGGCGGGTTATGGTGACTTCCAGGTAGGTACATCCATTAATGGTTCATCGATTCCAAGTGTCCTGAAGATGAAACAAACTTGAGTCCAAACGCCAGAATCCAAGCACAAAAAAATCCAGATATATCCAAAAACTGCGACAGCACAAATGTCTGAGCAGAGACCAAGCATAACTTAAGAACTGAGTGGCAAGATTCTACCGTGAGTAGTTAATCATCCAGCGATGTGAAGTGGTTCCCTCTCCTCTTAAATAGAGCTCTGCTGCGGTTGATTAGAGGATCTGCAGCTGCCGCTGATCGGTAATGCTCCGCAGCTGGTGAGTGCCCTCTCCTGGAATGAAGATCTTACAAAGATGTTGTAGAGAAGAGGGAGTACTCACCCCGTCACACAACACACACAGGCTGCCATGGTGACCTTTTAACAGATCTAAGAAAAAAATGTAATAAAAGAATGAAACTTAAAAACTCCCAGACCTCATGTCATATTTACTAATCAGCTATGGCTGATTTATTGTTTGGATCACAGTGAGTTACACTAATTCTAATATATTTTTATTTCTATTATACATACATACTTTTTCATTATTATTTTCACATGACTGTTATCAGGCTCTCTTGTTCTGGTTCTCATGATAATTCCGTGTCTTCCAGTAAGTTATCTTGTGCTTACTTCATCTGTATAATGTCTCTTTACTTTTGGTGAATTGTACTGAGTCCAGAATAAAGGCTAGTTGGCTGTACAAGATACAAACAAGTATTACGTTTTGGAAATTTATGAAATGTATTTAGGCTGCTAATTTAGCTCGAATACTAATAACTAACGTATTTTCCGTACTATAACTCACACTTTTTTACATATTCTGGCTGGTCCTGCTACTTATACTCCGGATCGACTGAACAAAATATGTAGGCTACACCGCACTGCTGCGAGCCGACTCCGACCCAAGAATGACTTACCCTGTCCCGCTGGGAGGGTTTTAAACACCGCCAGCATCTCCTGGAGCCTGTGGCGGGGTGCTGA